TTTCAGAAAATTGAAAGTGTTACTTTCCATACAGAATTTATTTATGTTACAGAAAGTAACATCTTCCTTAATAGCTAAATAGCTATTTAGCTTTAGCTATAATAGCGAAAATGAGTACTTTTACTAAACCTCACCTCATGCTGATTCTCATTGTTTTCATCTGTGGAAAGCATGGCCTTCCTGAAGGCTGTCTGCACACGTGTATAAATACACATGTGTACAAGCACCACACACATCCACCTCTTAAGGGCAGTTTGCAGAATGACTCACCATAGTTGCTATGAAGGAAGAACATGCATCTCAGAATGTCCTGTTACTTGGCATTAAGAACAATGGTGGACTTCACTTTTTGACCCGAAGACGACCCTTTTCACAGGTTTAAAAATCTAGTATCTGAGCTTACACCTTTAAGGGTTTGGTGACATGGAAAAGCCAGAGGAGAGGAGGCGTGTGCTTGCATATGATAACTTCCAACCTGAGTGATGGACCATCCACTGGCAGTCGCCCAGTGCTCATCGACTGGAAAAGAGACGGCAGTGTTAAGCAGTCTGGGAATTCTTCTCGTAAGAACGCCAAAAGGCAGGAGAGTCTAGTGAGATGAAAGGTGGGAAAAATAGTTTACAAATACCTTAATTTTAAGAACCTTTTGAATAAGTAATTTCCCAGCAGCCTTCTTCCCAACTCCTCTGAGGAGTCATGGAGGCGATTTTGCCAGGACACTCTCACTCAGCTCAGCCAACGAGCAGGTGCAGGGCCGCACCACTGCAGGCAGGGGAGACTGTGTCCTCTCTGGCTTGTGTCATCTCTTAGTGCTCCAATGAGACATTAGGGCAACAGTTAAAAATCTGTTCATAAAACAAATTCCTTGTATGGAAGACTATAATGACTCAGCTATCCAGGAGTTTTAGGGTGTGAAATATTCTGAAGGAAGTTTCCAGGGAAGTGAAGCTTCTCATTAAATTGCTAAACATTTCTTTAAAATTTTAACATTGAATTTCTTTGAAGTATAATATCATATATTTCCATTCTTTATAAAATTTTGAAAATATTTTCTTTCCCCCTTTCTTGGTGACAAAGAGGTCACAGGTTTTGTTGTTTTTTTAAAAATTATGTCTTACAAAGTCTTAAACTCCAAGCTTCTAGCTTCTTTAGGGCAATGATAAGCAAACTCTTATTTTCAGGAAAAATGTTGATGGGTTGCATTCTTTTCATTTTAAAAGGTAACTGTCATAAAACTTAGACAAATCAGCAAATGAAGTGGTGAGGAGAAAGCCATTAAAACAGCCACAGACCACACAAAGGAGCAGGGACAGCAGAGCTCCCCCACCCCCCAACCCCGAAATTAGGCCACAAGTCGAGGAGGCCAACCAGGAGGGAGCATTGCTCATCCCAGCGAGGGGGACAGGGCTGCTGGTCTGTGCAGGGGACGCGTGGCAGCCAGCAGGACCCGCACGCAGGGTGGCCGCACACCCCCCTCCCGCCCCGCCGCCCCGTCTCCAGTGCCCACTGCCTCGCTTGGAGACTGCCGGGCCTCAGTGATGAGGAGGGGCGTGTTCCGTTCTCAGCATGTTTCCATGTGGCCAAAAGAGTTCCATCTACCCCCATAGTGACAGAAATGGAAGTAAAATACACCCCATAGAAGTGCTTTTCAAGCCATCCATTTTGTTTCTGGCCTCTGTCAGTGCTCCCTTCAGGCACATCTGACGCGCACACGGCGCAATTCCCTCCTCTCCCCCCAGTCTGGCTGCAGGACTGGGGGAATGACCGGACCCCAAGGCTCTGCTCAAGCAGACTCTCGCAGAGTCTTCCATTTAACCAGCCAGTCAGCTGGTTCCCTTCTGCCTTTGTACTTGCTGGATTCTCTGACTTCACGCTCTTGTTCCATAAACCAACAAGTTCAGGACATGGTCTCCTGCGGTCACCCCCCGGAGGTCTGCGCTTCATGCAGAGTGCAGGCCTCATTCTCACTCCCTTAGCATGGCTTCTGGTTCCCATGGTGACAAGCTTCCCCTCCCCCAGCCCGCACGCCTGTGCCAGGGAGGCTGTAGACAGGACGGTCGCAGCGCTCGGGAGCTGGGCACGTGCTGATAAAGGAACTTGACCAGCAGAAATGACCACTCTGTGTCAGGAAGAGTCAAACTATTTAGTTTTCCCAGTTTGGCACAGCTTACTTGCAGGTTATGAGTGAATGTATTTTATAGGAAAATATTTAAAATAGTGAAGTCTATCCATTTAACTTTCTCCTCACCCATGAAGTGGGGCAGGCTCACTACTGCTTAGTTTGCGCTAGCAGCAGCCTGCGACCTGGGGGTGCCCAGCCCTGACAGCCCTGTGCCACCTGCAGCAGCCCCTAAGAACTGTCCTCTACCAATGCAGAAACCAGTTCCACTTTTGCATTTTTACTCTTTCTTCTCTCTGGAATTCAGGTGCTCAACTGCTTCCCAAGGGATCTGGACGCCTACAGGGAGCAAACGGGGGACACTGAGGGCCTGCATGGCTTGCACGTGCTGGGCCAGCGGTGGCGGAGACTGTCAGGGCAGCTGCCAATCCCGTGCCAGTGTTGCCACCTGGGGCAACAGTCGCTGTTCCTGGGACATGAAGGACATCTTTATTTTCTTTCTTGCCTGGTTCACTCCACCTGGAGAACATAACCCATCAGCGGAAACTCAGATTATCCCAACCTAGATGGCGGCTGTCCCTGTGTGACGGCACTCTGTCACAATGCCAAATGCAGGGCACTTTTGGGAGGCTGCAGCTGAAGCACCTTTTGTAAAGAGGAGCCAGAGTGTCCCCTTCTCTCTTCTGCCTCAGCGTCCGCAGCCCTTTCCTGGCAACACCTCACAGCCAGCCCTGGGGGAGCAAGTCCTTCTGCCTCCAGTGACCATGGGGCCGTCACCAGAGGCTGGCTGCGGTGCTGGGAGGAGCACAGATGCCCAGCTCACCTGTCTCCTGCAGGCTCTGCCCGACCCCAAACACTGCAACACAATGTATCCATCCCCTAGCATTCTTGAGGGCCAGCCTCGAGGGGCAAGTGATGAAGAAAACGAATAAAATGCTCTTTTGACCTATGCACAAACTTGCTTTTATTCTAAGCACTTCGAGGGGTGGAGGCAGATGCAGTCTGTCAAGGAGCAGACCCTGCCAAGAACCCCCAGAGACAGAAGGCAGGAAGCTGCTTGCAGAAGGGCCAGAGGGTCCCCAGGGGCAGCAGGGAAGGTCACAGAGGAAACCACATCAGGGCAGGGCAGGGCAGGCAGCAGGTGGTGGTCCTTAGAGAACCACATGAAATCAAACACCCAGAGAACAGAGGCAACCACACTGCCTTCCCGTTGGATCCTGCCTCACATTAAGTCTCTGCATGTCCTGGAGGAGACGTATGTCCTGGCAGGGGCCTGGAGAGAGCAGTGAGGCTGGTAGGGACAGGGCCCCCGGCGTCCCTTCTGTCCAGCCTCATTCTGAGCATGACACTGGCAGGTCCACCTCTCAAAGTGCTGCCAATCTAAACGGGGGTGGGAGTGGGGGAGAGGAAGGTTAAGAAGTGGGGTCTCATTATGTTGCCCAGGCTATAACACAGCGGTGATTCACAGCATGATCACAGCTCACTGCAGCTTCCACTCCTGCCTCAGCCTCCTGAGTAGCTGAGATTACAGGCACGTGCCACCATGCCCGGCTCAGACAAGTATTATAAATTTTTAAACAGACCTAATTTTCTCTTGCTGTTAAAAACATGGAAGAATAGTAGCCACGGAGTGAACGTGTAGGGTAAAGCCCCTGAAAACTCTTGGAAAGGGGCTGGGTGCGGTGGCTCACGCCTGTTATCCTAGCACTCTGAGAGGCCAAGGCGGGCAGATTGCTCAAGGTCAGGAGTTCAAAACCAGCCTGAACAAGAGTGAGACCCTGTCTCTACTATAAATAGAAAGAAATTAATTGGCCAACTAACCGGCATGGTTGGTACATGCCTGTACTTCCCAGCTACTCGGAGGCTGAGGCATAAGGGATTGCCTGAGCCAGGAGTTTGAGGTTGCTGTGAGCTAGGCTGATGCACGGCACTCAAAAAAAAAACCCCACTCTTGGAAAGGGAAAGGCTTGATGCCAGTGGAGAGCCCTGAGTTTATTCCAGCCAGAAGTGAGCACCTGGGTGGGTCTTAAACACATAGAACCTGGGGCCTTCTACCCTACCCTTCTGCCCATGGAGCTGGACCCAGACTTTTCCCAGATGACCTAATTCATTAACTTAATCTAGAAACTGAGCAAGATGATTTACAGATTTTTACCCCCCCAAAGCAATGTACCCACAGGAACCACCAAACTCACTCAAGAATTAATACAAAGAGAAAGCATGCTCCTGGCAACAGAACCAACAATCCAGTGAGATCCCATGTGTTCTGTAAGCATAAATAGGCTAATACCTCCACCTATTCCTAAAAGCAGAATTGGTTCCCAGTAGGTGAGGGGTCTGTTTATACTCCTTATCTTAATGAGATTATGGCTTTCATGGGGGCATAACAGAAACTCTAAGAGATTTTCCAAGAAGTGCTACACAATTTTTGTGGAGTTAAAAAGGTCTTTGCTCAAACTATTAGAAAAGCAAAATTGTTAGTATAGATTTAGTTTAAATGAACTCTTTTGAAGGTAAATGCTACAGAAGAACTTTTCAGTGCTCAGATTAATTAATGAGAGTTAAGAGTCTTGAACACACTAACGAGCGTTCCCATCAGCTTCTGACGTCCTCTGTACTTTCTTCTTGACTTAACGTGGGGATCTCCTCTCCCCCTCTTCCAGAGCAACATGACAGTTTCTTTCCAAAAAGACAAAACAAAAACAAAAACAAAAAAACAAAACTTCTCTCCCTTGGAATGATTTTCCAAGGGAATTCATGATTTCTTTCAGTCGGTCTGCAACCCCAGGCTGCAGGTCAGCATCTCAGTAGTTACGGGAAGACCAGAGTTACTGCAGACCAAGACAGGAGTGAGCGGAGGAAGGAAGGAGAGGGGCCAGGGGTTTTGTGCAAGATTTAATAAAAAACAAACAAAAATAGGAATGGTTGCTTTCAACATTTTCCAGGTTGTGAAAGGTTTGCCACGATTATCTAGGGTGCGCTTCTAAGCTGCATTGTGGAACAAATACGAAATGCTGTCCTCCTCTCAGGCCAAAAGGCAGTGCACCTCCTCCTCTGACAGCTGGGCTGCCGAGTCAGGTAGCAGTGCTGTGATCCAGGCCAAGCCAGATGTCCACATGGCCTTTCCTTCTGACCAACGGGGACCAGTCTGCCCTGTGGCGTGCTTGCCGCCAGGCCCTGTTTGCACCCAGCACTTGGTGAGACAGGGCTAGCTTATCAACAGGCTGCTGAGCCTTAATACTGACAGTGAGTGCGGCGGCTTACAGCAAGGAGGGGCTCTCACAGACGCCGGCTGCAGGGATGGCCCTCCCCAGCCCCACTGCTGGACCAATTTCAGAATACCATGGAAAAAATGCTTGGATAAGACCATAGGAAGTCTAAATCAACACAGCAGGGAATGGTGTGAACAACCCATAAACCAGTCTCTCATGCATCCATACCCACAGTTAATGATGACAATAACAATAATAATAATAATAATAAACAAAGGTACAGACAAAAAGCAACGCTTGGGTTGTGCTGCCACAAGCCGGGAAAGGTGCGTGTTCAGGTTGAACGGGACACAGCTAGTCTTTCTCCAAGTCCCTGGATTCAAAGAGCTTCAGCCGTTCCTGCACCGTCAGACCTTCCTTCAGACTCTGGTGGAGACAGGGCAGGAGGGGAGAAACAAGCTCACGTTAGATCCTCCGGCCAGCCCGGACCTGGTGGCAGTGGCTTTAGTCAGAGAGGCAGGTGCAGATGTGTGGTGGGGGCGTGTCCTGGGATTAGTGAGACATGCCAGGAAGAGAGGCGTCCTCTGGGAAAGCGGTGGAACACGTTTTTCCCTTCAGAAAATTACGTGATGAAAAAGGAAGAATATCAGAGAAACGAGACCATGTGTTTAAGCAGCTGAAATCTGAGCCTAGGGCTCTTCAGACAAGCAATGATCTGACTGATGCAACCAGGAAAAAGCAAATTGTGCTATGAACTAGGAAACTGCCATCTACGTGTCTTTTCCCATAGGTAGCTTTGCCCACGTCTGGCTCCTCTGTGATTATTAACCTGACAGCCTCAGATGAGGAAGGCCATGTCAGACAGCCTGAGGCCTGACAGCCTCAGATGAGGAAGGCCGGGCCATGTATCCCGGCCCTGTCCCTGCTCCCATGGTCTTCCTGCCAGACCTGCTGCCCTAAGACCCTTCCCCGACTAGAAACCTGCTGGGTTCACGACACGTTACAGGGGCTTAGGAACATGCCAACATACATACTCAGATTTTCAGAATGTAAAGCTGATACTCTTCTCATGTGAGATCTTGGAAAAATTTAAATTTGAATGTCCAGAAATGAGTGACATTTCACTAATGAGGGACAGATATTTGCCATTTCATTCTTAGAGACTTTTCCCAAAGATTTCCTTTCTCTTCTTCGTCTTTTTTTTTTTTTTTGAGACAGAGTCTCGCTTTGTTGCCCAGGCTAGAGTGAGTGCCGTGGCGTCAGCCTAGCTCACAGCAACCTCAAACTCCTGGGCTCAAGGGATCCTCCTGCCTCAGCCTCCCAAGTAGCTGGGACTACAGGCATGTGCCACCATGCCCGGCTAATTTTTTGTATATATTAGTTGGCCAATTAATTTCTTTCTATTTATAGTAGAGATGGGGTCTCGCTCTTGCTCAGGCTGGTTTCGAACTCCTGACCTCGAGCAATCCGCCCGCCTCGGCCTCCCAGAGAGCTAGGATTACAGGCGTGAGCCACCGCGCCCGGCCTTCTTCGTCTTTTTTTAAAGATGGGGTCTCCCTCTCTTACCCGGGCTAGAGTGCAGTGGCACAATCATAGCTCACCACAGCCTCAAACTCCTGGGCTCAAGCTACCCCTCCCACCTCGACCTTCTGAGTAGCTGAGACTAGAAGCTCACACCACCACACCCAGGTAATTTTTTTCTATTTTTTGTAGAGATGGGATCTTGCTGTATTGCCCAGCCTGTTCTTGAACTCCTGGCCTCAAGTGATTCTCCTGCCTCAGCCTCCCAAAGTGCTGGGATTATGGAATTGAGCCACCGTGCCCAGCCAAGATCTCATTTCTGAATAAGAAAAGAAACAGAAAATGACTGGAAATAAATGGAGTTCCAATACCAGCTGAGGCCCACGGCCAGTGTCACCAAGAGACTCAGCCAGAGCGGGAAAAGGTATGGGCTTGACTGAGAAATATGAAACAAAGGGGATAGCCTCTGGCTCAGGGTCCACAGGATTATACCATTTTTAGCCAAAAAACCTGTATAATTTGAAACTAAATGCTGCAACCTCACACCTACTGGGGCCTCCACTTTGGCTGCAGCACCATCTGGCGCAGGAGAACTGGGGGACTGGAGTGCTCACTGGCCAGCCTGATGCATATCGAGGTCTGGGGGCCCTAGCACCACCAAGGCTGGTGGAAAGAGGGTGGGGTCTGGTGTCCCCACCCCACGCGGCTCCACCCAGAGCAAGTCTGCATGCACGTGAATAAGTACTTATCTGATTTTTAAATGAAGGGACCTATTGCTAAACATATTTTGAAACTCACTGGTTCAGATGAACCTCAACTTGAGCAGGGTGGTTAACTTGGTTAGGGCTTTCTTTTTCCTGTGAGGGTTACTGTTGAAGCTTGCCACAGAGTGGGTGGGGGTACAGGCAGATCCATCTCCCATTCTGTGGCTCAACAGTCACACCTGCCTCCAGCACCCTTGAGCTCCCCCGCAAACACAGGGGTCTTGCAGCAGCCAGTCTTGTAGAAGAGCTGAGCAGTGGTCACCACCAAAGGCGCTGGGTCCACATAGGCAGCCCCCAGAGAGATAGCAGGGCTGTCACTGCCATACCCTGCTCCCATCTAGCTGGGGACTTTCCAGCAGGACTGCAGTGTACTGGCTGCTCCTGAGACCACTGCGGACAGTGAGTACCCAAGCCTCTGGGTTTGCTCCCTGGGGGCAAAACCCAGAATCACACTGTCAGAAGCTCCCAAGTGGCAGAATCACACTGCAACAGTTGGAGCAGGGGCATCCAGACAACCACGGCACCCAACACCGTGGCTCCTGCCTTCCGCCCCAGTGACAACGGCAGAGCGGAGGCTCAGTGAGGCTGGGGTCACCACAGTCCTAAGGACGGGAGGTAAACAACCCCTTGTGCTACCTGCACCCAGAGGAGGGCCATCTCCCACCAAGCCTCTCTGGCTTCTCTCCTGGGCTGCTGCTCAGCTCAAGGATAGGGCAGTACAGGGACTGTGGCTGTGCCAGGCCCTCTGGGTGCAGCCAGCTTTGGGACTCACCTCCAGACTGGTCTCCCCACCAAGTGCCTCCTGCAACCCACAATGAGCTGGCCACAGATAATGGCGCCCCATAAGAACCCGAAAGGAAGCATTCTCTGGTCTCAATCCCGGCAAAGGCTGTGCTGCCCTTAAGTAAGTAGCTTACTTTAATTTTATGGGCACTGAGACTTTCCATCCTTTTTGGCAGGATATAAAATGAGACATAACAGACATGGCTCAGATCAGATGCCATGTTAAAAAGTACCAATGAGAAGCGTGGTTTCTGGGCAACTTCACTCCACTGTCTTCTCATGGCATTCGGGGGGTCCCCAAATACAAGCAAGGCAAGGGCAACACCACCCGTGTGCCTGTTGAAGTCTCCTGAGAGGGGGCCACTCTGACCCCGCCCTGCCGTTACACTGCGGTGTCCCTGAGGATGGCTGTGAAGTCCCATCTTCCTGCTGTGGCCAGCAGGACTGGCCCTGCATATCAAGGGCTTTCTTATTATGAAAACCCAGCCAAGCCAAGCATCAACTCAAAAAACCCCTCGCTGGGCTTCTCTCCTCCCTTTTCTGGGTCCTCCCTCTCTGGGAGTCTGAGTCTGACGTGGCGCCCAGATAGCCTTTCTTGGCTGTGCTCAACAGTCTTCTCCCTCCTACCTGTGCGCTGGCCCACAGCACACCTTGCTGCACAGGCCTCACTGCCAGGAGCTGCAGGTCTGTCTCTAGGTCCCCCAGGGATGCTCGCTGTGCTGGGTCATGGCCCCGGGCCTGACACAGTGCAGGCACCAGCACAGCCTCCCTGGAAGGGTCCGGCAGAAGCTCTCTGTCCCCTCCCACCCCACCACTCTCATTTGTGGGCATGGTCCAAAGGCACAAACTACTACAGTGAACTTCAAACTCTTCAGGAAAAGCTCAAAGATAACAGCTAGAGTTTAGCCTCAAATAGGAAGTAGATTCTTCAATAAGAAAACCATGAACCAAAAAAGAACAAGTTTCCTTCTGCTAAACAAAACATTTTTCATATTTAAAGAAGAAAGTCCAGACTAAGGTTTCAATCAAGCCTAAACCACACTTGGGTATAAGAGACTTGGGATTATAGAAAAATAAAACAAATTGACTAGGTTTAAAACACTTGGATTTTTTTCAGAACTTTTCCTAAGGCAAAACTCCTTCCCCCAAGCTTTAGGCTGAAGCCCATTGGCCGTGGAGGGAGGGAGTGGCCTGGCAGGCTGGTGAGCAGGTCTGCAAAAGCAGCCAGTGCAGACACTTCCTGTGTCCTCAACCTTCTCATCACTGAGTGAAGGAGCTCAAGCTGCTAAGCTGGCAACCACTCATTCTCGGCCCCCGTGAGTAGGGACACGCTGTCCTCCTGCTCACTCTCAAACAGGCTGGTCGCCCACCACGGTCCACACCCCACCTCCTCTCTTTGCGATAGTGCCTTCAATAGCATCCAGAGAGAAGCTTGTTTTGTTTAAAAAAAAAAAAAAAAGTGCTGGTAACTATCCAGGCCAGAATGTGGCTACCACACTCCTCTGAACCACGCTCCTGGGCTCTGCCCTGACTTACCCATCCCCAGCCCGTGAGCCGCAGAGGAAGAGAGGCCACGACAGGTAGTGAAGAACCGGGTGTGGGGACCTGTCCAGTGTGTGGGAGGCTCCTCTGCCTCCTCGGCCAGCTGGCTGTTCACTAGGTGAGCAAGGACCTCAGCGACGACAGACTTGGCTTGCCAGTGGCAGTGGGTGTCTGTCTACCTCACGACAGAGGGCAAGATGGGTATCCCAGAGAGTGTGCAGTGAGTTCAGCCTCCGTACACAGAACCCGACATGCAGCCTGCCCACCAAGCTGGGGGAGGGCCCCTCTGCAAGGAGTCAGCTCTGCAAGAGGTTAGAGTGCCAGCTAACTCCCCAGAGCAGGTAAACAAAACCGCCCTTGGATTTCATGTGTGCTTGCTGGAGCGGGACGAATTAAAGTAACCATGACGCAGGCATTCGCTACGGAAGTGTGAGCAGTGCATGCAGAGGCCGCCCTGGGTGGGCAGGCAGGTGGGTGAGAGAGGTGGTTTACCTACATGACAGGGACCTGGCAGCGGATGCGTTTCAGTTATCCCATGAGACCTGCTCAATTACGGACTGTCAGAGGAGAGAGCAAAAATGAGACACACACACATCAATCCTAAATGCGACATGCTGGATGATGCCCCCCACTCCCTACCCCTGCCCATCCTTCCCATGAGACGCAAGTCCACTCCAGAAGCACACTGGGGATTTGCTGCTTCCTGGTGGGGGCAGCGGGGTTCATCTCTTAAAGGCAGATGGCATCAGTATCATGACTGTGACATGCCAGGAACAACACAGACACTGCAGCTGACTTGAGGATGGGCAGGAACCTGGCCTTGGAGGCAGGAGCCGAATCACTCTAAGCCCTGCTTCTCACAGCCCTGGCCCTTCAGCATCCTGCCAGAAGGTGGCTCCATAAAAGAGAATGAAGATCGAAGCCACCAGAACCTGCCCAACAGGGTGAGCCTGCAGGCAGGCTGCATCCTGGGCTTTGCCGCAGCAGCCAGTGGATGGCCTGGCTGTGGCTCATGCTTGGACTTTGATTCGGACTCCTCTCCCCAGCGTTCCCCAGCTCCACCCACTAGGGCTGGACCCCAGACTCACCTTGGACCTGATGTTTCTAAGTTGCCGAGCGACACAGGATCTGTCTTTCTTTAAGAAGTCAGGGTTGCTTTTAGATTTCATTATATCTGAAGGAACAAACAGAACCATTACCTTTGTTTTCTAAAACCTCTAGAATCAGATTGTTTAAATATTTTCCAAGCTTATTATTGCAGTACACTTATGACATTTCCTTAAATAAGTGAAAGGGAATTCAAACCCAATGACCATAATATACACTAGATCTTTTTCAGAACACCACAAACACCAGAACAGGAGAATGTGAATGTGGGGGCCCTGCCAGTGTACCCAGATCCAGTGCCGGCAGCCCAGAGCAGTCTCTTCACTCCACACGAGACCCTAACTGCTGAGCACACAAGTATACCTGTTATTCAACTACTCCGCCTCCTCCTGGTAACACAGGACTGTTATGAAACAAGAAGGTAAGGCCGAGTCCTTCTCATAAGCTATCCCACCATGACAACAGTCCTGTAGATTTGTAAAAATGTGGGGGTTTTGGGGTTGTTTTTTACTTTGTATGTGTATATATAGTTTGGGTTTTTTCTTTTCTGTTGTTTTCTGATTCTTCAGCTAAAACAGAAGATATGTATCTATTTATTGATATGATATATTGTATGATACAATACAATACTCGCAGCCACCGAGAACAGAACTAGTCCAGAACGTCAGGTCCAGGGCAATAAGAACTTATTTGGTCTGAGCAGGATGGGTCTCTCAGCAGCGATGTAGTTCCAGACCCACCCAAAGGCAGGCTCCAGACAGTAGCATACAATCCAACAACCTGTGCCTGTGTCCTCAGCCTCTGGCATTCCATGTTCCTGCTCTTGGGGCCTGCACGTGTGCACAAACACGCCAGTTTACTTAGAACTCTGCTCATCTTCTTTTGTGCTTTAGCCTGCACATTCGCTTCGTCCTCCACCTGGCCCTCAAGACGTGGAGGTATCTAGCAAGATGGCGCTATGGCCCAGAGTAGTTTTGTTTTTTCTTTTAAAGAAACAGGGTCTCACTAAGTTGCCCAAGCTGGAGTACAGTGGCATTCATGAGTGCAATACCACTACTGATCAGAACAGGAGTTATGATCTGCTCCGTTTCTGATCTCCTCCAGCTCACCTCTCCTCAGGCAACCTGGTGGTCCCTGCTCCTGAGAGGTCACCAAACAGATGCCTGATTGGCACAGCACACTATAACCCAAAACTCCTGGGCTTAAGGCATCCTCACACCTCAGCCTCCTGGGTAGCTGGGACTACACATGTGCGGCACCACGCCTGGTTGTATACATATTTATGGATCTCTTTCCGTATAAAAACAAAAATATCTACCCGACATCTTTTAACAACTGCATAATTCCACTGTGTAGCTATGCCACAGTGTAGACAATCCTCTATTTGATGCCTAAAGGTAGAATGCAGTTTTTTGGCTCTTATAAACAAATGCTCAGATAACTTCACACATTTCTACACATTTCTTTTTTCTGAAAGTTATACTAGGTCAAAGGAATACACATTTTCCCAAAATTCTAAGTCCTCCCTTCTCCCTGTCCCCTGGTCATTCAATCTCTTCCTCAGTAATAACCACTGTTACCATTTTGTTACCCTTCCAGAGTTAGTCTACAGTTTGGTTTTATATTTTGATACACGTTGCCTGACTGCTTTCCAGAAAGACTGATAACTCACACTTCCATCAGCAATGCAAATGATTTTCTCCACAGCATCTGTCAGTATGCCATCATCACTATTCCCTGGCTAGCTGATAGAGAAAATGTTGAATTTTTTGAATATTCATGGGCCAGAACATTATGTGTTTTGGGTCTTTTGTAAAAATGTCAAATGAAATTATGTACTATCTGAAAGTGTTTAATAAAGTATTAAATCGCTAGCCTCCCTGCCATCTATTTTCTTACATGGGTGCCTAAATGTTTTTGGCCAACAGAAAAAATGGATCAACCCTGCTGCTCGCTCGAGAATGCGGGAGTCTGCTCCCTGCCTGTCCCCTGGCCCACAGACTTTCTCGTAAAACTCTGGGATCGAGCAACCAGTGAGCTGTTCTATCCAGCTGCTGAGTTCTTTAGCAAAACAGAAAAACAAGAGTTGTCACTGCTGTGAAAATATGTGCTGACGGTGTGGTTTCTCCCCAGAGCAATGGGCCCAGTGCCTCTATCGCGGCCACGCCTGGCCGGAAGGCCGTCTCCGATCCCGTGTGCAAGCCCTCACCACTGCGCCTCGCCTCTACAAGGAAACCTGGGGCTGCAAAGAGCAGTGGATTCTTCTGCTTCGAACCGAGTACCAGTGAACCTCCTTAAGCAAACCCACGAGCTCCCAAGCAATGACCGACCCAAAGGGCACAGCCCGAGCACGCACCGTATCCCGACACGGCAGCACTCTCAGGGGACTTTTCCCCCAGTGCTTCTGTCGCAGCCTTCAGCTGCTCTTTCAACCTGCTGATGTCGCAGTCGGCTTTTGCCTTCGCGATGCTGAGCTCTGTGTAGATGTCTTTATACTTGTCACTGGCGTACTTCTTGTCCTTGGGAGGGAAAGGAAAGAAGCAAATGGCAGTCACAGCCAGGGGAGGAGAGTCACACAGAACTTGGCCTGTGCCCTGGGGCTGACCACTTGGGTCCTCGCCTGTCAGCAGGAGAGGAGACTAGCCAGCCTCCGTCTTCCAGAGCCAGAAACTGGACACAAAGGAAACGGGGCCTAAGGACACAGGCACTGCAGAGATTCTCTGTCAAGACATAGTATGAGAATTCCCAGGCCCAGGGCAGGAGGGCAGTTCCCTGGGGCCACCTGGCCAGCCTGCTGTGGCCATCAGCCTAGAAAACCCTCTCTCTGCTTCAGACTTTCTAAGTGACTAAATGGCCACCAAGGATTCTGTCATCTCCCTCTCAACTCTAGATGTTCCCTGGGAGGAGGCTGGCGTCAACTGGCCGTCAGGCCTCACTTCACCACCCAGGACTCTTCCCTAGGGCTCCGCCGTTCCCACCAGAGCACACAAGAAACACCTGGAGGAAGACGAGGCCAAGCTGCTCATTCCCATGTAGCTGCCTGCAGGCTGGCCTTTTAAGAGAACCCAATTTTGAAGCCATCTTCCTCACGAAAGGGACATCTACTCTAGAATAGCCTGTGCTCAGCCATGGCCCGTGTGTTCAGGACACATGTGACCCAGAGTCGGCCCCCAGACCCGCTCTCCCTTGGTGGGGCAGCCTCACCCGCAATGCTGTCTGGAGCTCGTCCTTGAGGGAGCTGATCTCCTGTTTTAGGTACTGTATTTCTGATTCCTTGACCCGCAGTAAGACCTAGAATGACAGAGAAATCAGGGATTGATGGGATCTTAAGTGCAAAGACTGAGAGGTGAGCAGATGGCTCCCCCCTCACCAGTGCCCAACTGAAAATATAATTTAAACATCACTCAAAGCTCCAATCTTATATATACAGATAGAAAAAAGAGGAAAGAAATGGCCATGATCTGGCCAGCACTTTGGGAGGCTGAGGTGAGGGGATTGCTTGAGTCCAGGCGTTCAAGACCAGCCTGAGCAGCATAGTCAGACCCGGTCTCTACCAGAAATAGAAAAATTAGCAGGGCATGGTGGCACATGTGGTCCCAGCTACTGGGGAGGCCGAGCCAGGAGGATAGCTAGAGCCCAGGAGCTAGAGGCCTCAGTGAGCTATGATCAGGCCACTGCACTCCAGCCTGGGTGACAGAATGAGACCCTGTCTCTAAAAAATTAAATAACTAATTAAAAAAATAAAAACTAAAGAAATTGCTATGACTCCCCCCAGTGATGAGGACCCTCTCCCCAGCCTGGCGCCACCTTGGAGTTGCACCTGCCAACCTGCCTGTCTCTGGAACTAGGCATTGAGGCTCAGGAAATGTTGTTCTGTGGAAACTTTTGTCAAACTTACTCAGTCTTTCCTGTCCATCTTTGTGGTAAAGTACTCATTCAGTATGCGACATTTTAAAAATGAGATTTTAATTAAATGGGGAGAAATCAAAGCACCTTCCTAAAAGGACACTGCATATACCAGAATCAATCATTCTGAGATAAGATGAAGCTTCCTGACCCTGAAGAGTCAGGCACCACAATCCCAAGGGGTTGCGGCCCTGCGTGACTGCAGTGTCCTACTGAGCCGTCAGGGCTGTGGGGGGCAGGGTGCAGGGACCCACCGTGGTGCAACATGCTGCCTGGCAGCCAACTGCTCCTTCTACTGCCGCAGGTGACCTGGATCTTTCCATGCCCTCTACTCTTGCTGTCTCACGGCCCATTCCTCCCACGACCCCATGAGCAAGGGGCCATGTCGGACCCCCCTCAGGGCTCGTGGGGTGCGGGGCTGGAAGGCAGGGCCTGCCTCCTGCCCATACCTCCAACTCATAGGCGTCCTTGCCCTGCGTTAGGGGTGACCCAGCAGGCTCCCCGCCGCCGTCACCAGTCAGCAGCGTCCGTAACCGTGTGATCTCCGCAGCCAGGCGGTTGTTCAGCTCCTGGGAACAGCAACACAACAGTGACTCTCCACAGAGCTGCCTGGGGCAGCTGCACAGCGGGAAGGCCATTTCCCACTGACAACACACTGCAACTGAACACCCAAGCATGGGGCCGAGAGCAGCTCTGCGCATGCCATGGCGTCTGAGACTAGACGGGGCAGGCTGCCGCTGCCTGTGAGCTGTTTGTGTGGTGCGTTAGGGTACGCAGAACCACTGTGGACAAGATTCCACTGATAACCCGTCAACTTTCTGTGACGATAACTAGTGTCAATCTGTTCCATGGCTGGTCCCATCTGAGCTCCTACGGGACTACGCCACCCTGCCCCTCCGCCTCCCACTCTGGACCTCCTGTGTGGCTGACAAGTGGCCATCCTCAAGCCACTGCGGTGACTGAATAGACCCAGTCCTGCCTGTGCAGTGGCCAAGGCCCCGGGGAGTCCCAAGCAGGAATGAGGCTGTGCCCACTCCCAAGGGGTATGCTCACAGAGGGTCGTTTGGCTTGGTGCCCACAGAAAAGGTGATATAATGCACCGAACCTAACTCAAACCTCTCAAATAGCCAGGATTTAAACACATCCAGATTTCTGAGGAGCAGGCAAATTTCAAGAGGACAATCTGACAAAAATAAACGTGAGCAGTGTACGGCCCTGACTCAAGCAGCTTCAGTGCACCCCATCTTGAGGGATAGGGTCTGCCAAGTAGGAACAAGCCTCCCAGGCCCTGCCCAGCAAGGACGAGCCAAAGACTCAGAAGCTGAGAGAGTACATTAGGACATCTTAGCATCTCAGAAAGGGCTAGAACAAGAGCAACTCCACATGTAAACAGTTCACACGGCAGGACAGCCTTGTCCTAGGCCCTCCGCAGTGAGTTTCTGTGAGTTTCTTCAACACAGAGCAAAGTCAGACAGCCACACACCAGAGAAACCTCGGGGTCAGGCAGGCGCTCTGTGGCTCAGGAACCCTCAGGGCCACCTCCAGGCGCGGCCTGGCCCCAGCTCCCTCATGGGCTCACCTGGTTGTGGGCGTTGAGCTCCTGGTTCTCCCGCTGGCACTGCCGCAAGGCCTGCCGCTCAGCCTCTAGTGCCTGGGCCAGGTGGGCATTCTCCAGGCACTTCTGCGAGTACTGCTCGGAGAGGACCTCGAGCTCCCGCTTCACTGACTGCAGCTCCTCCCTAAGGAGAAGGCAGTGCTCACCCCTTTGCCTACACCAGGACCAGGCCTCTCAGAGGCCCCAGGTCACTTCTTGATACCAGAGGAACGGCTGGACACAGAGCAGAGCTGAGCCTAGAGGGCCTACGCTGTCTGCTCCAACCTGTGGTGCCCATTTAGAGTAAGAGGCTCCTCAGAGATGGACCCGCTCCCCTCCTGGTCTCCCCTCACACAGCCTCAGAGTGCTACAGCCAGTGCTTCCCTGGGGATGTCTGCCAGAACAGAACCCAGCCCGGCATGGTCACACAGACATCTCATTTCCGGGAGAAGTCAGATGTGGTTCTCTCTTCTGACTGGCGATTTGTTTTTAGTAAACCAACTTTTTTTTTTTTTTTTTTTTGTTTTGTTTTTTTTGAGACAGAGTCTCACTTTGTTGTCCAGGCTAGAGTGAGTGCCGTGGCGTCAGCCTAGCTCACAGCAACCTCAAACTCCTGGGCTCAAGCGATCCTCCTGCCTCAGCCTCCCGAGTAGCTGGGACTACAGGCATGCGCCACCATGCCCGGCTAATTTTTTATATATATATCAGTTGGCCAATTAATTTCTTTGTATTTATAGTAGAGACGGGGTCTCGCTCTTGCTCAGGCTGGTTTTGAACTCCTGACCTTGAGCAATCCGCCCGCCTCGGCCTCCCAAGAGCTAGGATTACAGGCGTGAGCCACAGCGCCCGGCCAGTAAACCAACTTTGAGCCCATCTGTATCCAACAGCCAAGACCAGCCTCTGCAATATGCAGAAAACTAACCCTTGTGAGGCTGCTCTGATCACCCTCCCACAGGCAAACCAAGGGGCTTCCAGGCGAGCCACTCCAGTCCAGCTGAGGTCACGCGTGACTCTCTACAGGGTGCCGCCAAGCTGCCACGGCTGTGGCCTGACGGCGCCACCCGCTCCTGAGAAGAGGGGCCCTGGCTTCCACTACAGTGCAAAGACCCTGGTGAAGTCTGGGCACTGCACAGCTCTCACAGTGGCTGGCCCAGGGCTCCGAGCAGGGTCACTTCTGCCAAGCGGAAAAGTTAACAGCAGCTGTTCTGGGTCTGTTCTTCATCCTCCTGCCTAGGCAGAGGGAATCAGCACACGTGCAGTTTCTGAAAGCCAGTCATTGTGGCCACCTGCCACGTGCAGCCACGGAGTGTTGGGCACCAAGCCTTGGCTGGCCTGGCTCCTGCTGGGCTACTGAGGCAGCAGCTGCTGATGGAGAACAAATTCCAGACAGCCTCAGAGATCAGCTCCGAATGAGCTAGGATTTTAGAATTTTGTTTGTTATAGTTTGTTCTATGGATTTTAGAGATTAGTCTTTGCATGTAAGAAGCCCCGCTTGGGCCAGGCCCTGCCGCTGGAGAGAAGGGCAGTCTGAACTGCCCTTAGCACCCACAGGACCCTGGGCTCTGACTCTTGGAGGCCTCTACAGAGACACAGGAGGGGCCCAGCTCTCTCCCTGGCCGGCCCTGTCTACGGCAGGGCCAGGCCCGCCCACTCACAGATACTGCCGCCTCAGGGCCTCGATGTCCGAGTTGATGCTGCTTATCTGGGACCTCTGGCTCTTCTCCAGCTCCCGCTCCATTTCCTCCCGGTGGGCGTTCTTCATGGCTTCGATGGCTACAGGCAAGGACACTCGTCAGCACTGCAGGGCCGTGCCACTCCCCGTGAACAGGGTGACATATGCCCAATGTTAATGCTTAATCAATCAGCAGTCAGATGCTGTATGACAGGCTGGCTGCACACAAACCAACTCGTTGGGAGTGATGTAGGCTGGGAGAATTCCCAGTGAATTCTCCCAAAAGGGACATAGGTGCTTTTGGGTTTTTGTGTGTATGTTAGAAGAAAACCAAATTGATTAAATGTTGATATTGAGTTCAAGCATGAGTTCATAAAACAAGCAAGTTTTTGGGCAGGTGTGTTTTCTTCCTTGGCACTGAAATAATAAAGCAGTATGAGGTGACAGTTAATTACACAAAGGGAAGGCAGCACAAGATGGACAGATGGGTCTGTGCAGGGCAGAGCACGTCAGCCATCACAGAGTGTCTTGCCAGGCAGAGGCTGCGGCAGCTTCGCACCGACAGACACTCCAGCAGAGGCGGTCTCATGCCCATAGGCTCCACCAGGGGAAACCGCACATGCAACTGCTGAGGCTGAGGACAGCCCTTCACTGTGACCGGCTACGCAAGGAGTCATGGAGGGCTGGATGGCTGGCTCCTGGCTGGATGCTCTCAAAGGGCTCCTAAAACCAGCATTTGCCTCAGAGTGAATTGTCAAAGAACACTCCTCAACAAGAAGCTTAAATCACAGCCAAAAGGCAATTCAGAGGGTAGTCATTTCTCTGAGTTGTGCACCTAGTTCAAGAAAACTGGCCACCCATCCCACCATGAGTTACTCCCAGCCCCACCTGAGATGGTGGCTGCCGTCTCCTCAGCAAGGAGGCGGTCTTTCTCCTCCCGAAGCTTCTCCAGCTCTCGCTGGTGCTGCCTCTGTAGATCTTCAATCTTCTTCTGGTGTGTTTCTTCCATTGCTGCAAACCCTCGCTCGCACGTGGCCTGCAAAACACAAAAGAATCTTCACAGGCTTCCTCCTTTACCTCTAAGTTAGGCACCTATTTACTAAATGAGCCAGCAACCCTTGTGCAGGCCCAGCTGTAACTCAGCACTCACTGAGTGGACCCCATGGTCAGGACCCTCATGGTGGAACAGGATCTCTGGGGCTGTCAGGAGATTCTCACTGATGCTAACAGAACATCTAGAAAAGGCAGTTCCTCTCTGTAAATTCTATGTCTTATTTTCCCAACCTTTCTGAGTCCTTCCTCATGGGAAGGCCTGGTATGGGAGTGGAGAGGGCTGCAGTGAAATTTAAATGAGCCAGTCCTGGACCTTCCCAATGCTGCTGTCAGGTGAGACCCCTTGAAAGGAGGGAGAACAAAGCCCACGAGCAGAGGCTGGTCTTATCTGGCTCAGAGGGACATAGCAAGAGGCCCTGGGTGCCCATCACACACACAGATGAGATTTGTCCGCTGGAGGGAGCTGAGGCCATCCTGCAAACAGCAGGCAGCCTGGTAGTACAGGGTAAGCGCACCTAGCCCAATGTGGGCTGGGAGTGGGCAGAGTCACTGCTGGGAGTGGGGGCCCTGGCCCTGCCACTAGCCAGCTGGCAACCTCAGACTGGCCACTTAACCGCTCAGGTGTCCACTGAGGGAATGAAATCAGTTACATGATCTCATTCCTGCTAACCTGAATCTTCTTTCCTCCTTTTTCTTTCAAAGGAGAATTAAGAGCACTAAATAATTAGTGCCTCCACTAGCTTTAACAAGACAGAACATTAGACTTGCTTTCCAAGCTCATCCGTGCCCTGGAAGGACAAAGGCATGTTCCAAGAAGAGAGCAAACCAACCCCCTCCATACTGGAAGCCCAGCCGGCTGTCAGAGCTGCACTGCACTGATGACAAACAGCTGCTGGGAAGGCTGGGGTGTGCAGCTGTTCTGACCATGGAGGCACCCTTTCTGCCTAAAACCCTCACCAGATCCACTTCAGAGTACACATCAGGCATTTTGCTGAGTTTTAAAAACTGGAAGAACTTGGCCATGTTACATCCCAAATATAAGTGCAGAGGACTCTCCACCCCAGGCTCCCAATCCTGTACTACTTGGCCAATCTTCTTGCACATGGATTCAAGAAATCAAATCACCACACCTGACTTCTTTACCAGAGCTCCACAATTAACAAGGGCCCTGAGGGCCCCAGGCAATGTTTCCAAGCTTACAGTGGTAGTAGTCTGGACTTTACTGTCCACATTTGCTGCAATGGGCAAATGTCTCAACTCCACTCACCAGGAAGCACCTGTCTCCTCTGGCCACCCTTGCACCTCAGGATGGCTGCAGGATCTCCATGGCTCAGGATCCTGGTCCTCAGGCCACTACACTGAGCCCCTCTCTTTCCTCCCACTTGCTTTGGTTCATATGTGGCTTCTCAGTTAACAAACTTAACTAGGAGATCTTTTGTATATTATTTTGATTTGAGTGCTTTGGAATATATGAAGACAACAGTCAAAAATCCCTAAAAGTCCTAAAATATCTCTAAAGGCCCAATTGCTTCCCTGGAGAGAACTTATATATTGAAAAAATAATTTTTTTTTTTTTTTTTTTTTGAGACAGAGTCTCGCTTTGTTGCCCAGGCTAGAGTGAGTGCCATGGCGTCAGCCTAGCTCACAGCAACCTCAAACTCCTGGGCTCCAGCGATCCTTCTGCCTCAGCCTCCCGAGTAGCTGGGACTACAGGCATGCGCCACCATGCCCAGCTAATTTTTTACATATATATATCAGTTGGCCAATTAATTTCTTTCTATTTATAGTAGAGACGGGGTCTCGCTCTTGCTCAGGCTGGTTTTGAACTCCTGACCTTGAGCAATCCGCCCGCCTCGGCCTCCCAAGAGCTAGGATTACAGGCGTGAGCCACAGCGCCCGGCCTGAAAAAATAATTGATCTGTAAACAATTATTTTTAGAGATGGGTCTTGCCATGTTGCCCAAGCTGTACTCAAACTCCTGAGCTTAAGTGATCCTCCCAGCCCAACCTCCTGAGTAGCTAGAACTACAAGCATGTGCCACCTCAATGGATTTTAATTTTAGTCAGACATCTCTGGTACGCAAAGAAGCTCCTTGATGATTTCCACACAGAGTTGTGGTGTGTGAAGGATACTGGCATGTGGGTGTCAGAAGAGGGCCTCTGAGGCCAAGACCCCGTCTCCCTGACCAAGCAGAATCTGCATAAAGTACCGGCTGTTGGCCAGGCTCTCGAGTGCTGTCTGGTTCTATGTTCTGCATACCCAAAGGGGTTGAGGAGAACTCTGCACACAGCTGGATGCTTCCAGGCACAGGACAGAGGACTCTGTGCAACAGTGGCACAAGGCAGCACAGAGTGGACAGTGTCCAGGCCCCAGAGGCCCTATACCAACCTGCATCGGCCACATCTGAGAGGTCTCCCTGCCTGTGACATAGGGCCTAGCACAATCTCTGGCCAGTTTTCAACACGAGTAGTGCTCTCCCCTTTCTGACTCCCTGCTAACTGGTGGCAAGATGTCACCAGCACTGGCCTCATCTATACCTGGCCGACCAACCTAAAATTGCCCCACCATGGAGGCAGCTCTAGTGGATGCAAACGGGAAATGAGTCATCACACAGGCCCGTGGACTGTGCCGGCTGCTGTGGAAAGCTGCTGGTGCTCTGCGGGGAAAGGCACTAGGGTGTGTGTCTGGGGGCCAAAGCAAAGGTTTGTGCAATTTCTTTTGAGGCACATCTGGCTCCATCTGGATGCTACTCTCAGTGAACTGACCAGAGCACCATCATGTACCCACTTTTGGAAAATAGCTGTTGAAACTTCTCACAATGCATAATGGTTTTTAAAAGGTTTTGACTGGTGTGGGGAAAGCAAGGTGAGCAATGCTCCTTGCCTGCCTGAGAAGGTGCTGCAGCTCACCCCTGGCTGGGGGCTGTGCTGTCACACAGAGTTAACCCGTGAACTGCCAGTTTATGGCACATGTTCCTTTCTCATTTAGAGCCAGGGAACAAGGTGATGGGAAACACGTTCACGGGTGTCCCACTAGACAGTGACCATGGGGACAACACTGTGTGCAGGGCCAGTGCGGCAGCCGCCTGTGAGTCAGGCGCTCACTACAGGCACCGCCTGGGAAACGGTGTTGGCTGAACCCAGCCTAGCTCTGCCTCGAGAGTACCACCTGACCAGAGCTTGAGGGGCCTGGGCATTTACTGGTGCAGATTCCAGAGCGGAAGTACATGTCAGCACGGCTATCAGGGCAAACTTCTTCTGAGGCTAAGGGGTGGCAAAAGGCTTGAGAGAACGATGCCCAGGCAGCCACACACATGATATGGCCTGTGGTTACACAGGGTGGGCCCACCCCGAGGGGCCCAGTGCATCACCTTTGTGTGCCAGGGCCTCAGAGGCAGAGTGTGAACAAGGTGGGGGTGTGGGGTAGTCCCAGGGGAAAGGCCACTTTTTAAAGCTTCTGGAGAAGGGAACAGGAACACTGGAAACTGTGCTGTATGGGAAAGCCCTTTGCACCAGGGTGCCCATCTAAGGCCAATTCCTCACAGAGAGCTGGGGTGAGAGAAGGGCCCTCGACACTGTCCACAAACATTCCCATCTGTTGGGAAAACCCAACTCTGCTCTCCTAGGACAGTCAGGAGGAGACTGCCCTCCAAGGAGGCCTCAAGCCCAACTCTCCAGGGCACTCCGGCAAGCATGGGGCAGTCCTCAGGCAGGTGCCTCGGCCTGGGTCTGCACCGGGCCAGGTACGGTTCTGGGGGAGGGGGTCAAGGAGGCAGCGAGGCTGGTGGGGCGTGGAGGCTACTCTAGGGAACACAGAGAGAGGTGATGGATGGGAAGATCACACTGTCCTCTCCCCCGGGGGCCCCTGGCCTCCCTCCTGCCGGCTCTCCCTCCTGGGGGGTGATGCTCAGTGGGACGTCAAATCTGTGGCCCAGGCCCTGCTCTAAGACCATCCCACTGCCAGTGAGCGAGGGACAGCAGCACATCCCCTTGATTCTGCCTGCAGAGTAGCCGAGAGCCAAGAAGCATCTCCAGGTCCTCCCTGACAGCCAGACGCCCCACCCCCATTAGCAAGAATCTGCTTTGCAAATAAAGGTGCACCAAGACCTTAAGGTTCTCGAAGTCCCTCTGGTACTTCTCCCGAAGTGTGGCCGTGTCACCCTCCAGGTCCTTGTGGCCCAGCTCCTCACGCATGATGTCCATCTGGGCCTCCAGCTCCTGGATGCGCTCCCTTAGCCCCGTCGTGGACTCAGCCTCCCCCTCAGTAGCCTGCCTGCAGGAGGAAGGGGCCGACAGGGCCTTGGGGTGCTGGCCTTGGTAGAGACAGAGGGTCTCCTGCAGGTAGCGCAGGTTCTGCGAGTAGTGCTCCTGCAGGGTCCTCAACTCCTCCTCGTGGATGGTCTGTAGTTCCTTGATCTTGAGCTGGAACCTGTCCTCCAGCGTCTGCATCTGTGCCACGTGGTGCCTCTCCATGTCCTGCCTGTCTTTGACAGAGGCATCCAGCTGGCTCAGGACCCGGCTGCGCTCAGCCTGCAGTGTGTTCTCGGTCCTGTTCAGCTGCTCCACCACGCACCTGATCTCCTCCTCATACCTGCCCCGCAGGGCGAACATGTTCTCACTGTGCTTGCTCTCCGCTTCCTCCAGACGCTTCTGCTGCTGGTCCAGCTGGGCGACCTTGGCCTTGAGCTCTGCATTTTCACTTTCGATGATGGTGATCACGTCCAGATACTCGCTCTTCTGCTTGCGGAGCAGTTCTTTGTATTCCTCCCTCAGGACCCTGATAGCTTGTGCCTGCTCCAGGCAGGAGGCCCCCCTGATCAGCCAGGACTCCTTGTAGAACTGGAGCTCCTTTTCATACTCCAGTCGAATTTTGCAAGCTGCATAACACACCTGAGCCTGAATAATTGCATCTTGAACCAATAATGAAGAATACTGACCAAGGCCTCCCAAACAAGTGACATGTGAGAGATTCTGGGATGCCTGAAGAAGCTTCTGACAATCTCTCAGCGACTGCACAGGAGGCAGAGATGGTAAAGCAGCAGCTATCTCCTCTAAGACGCGGGCCTTTTCCTTTAGCTGCTGGGCGAGCTCTTCCTGAATAGCAACAAGGGACCCTGAGCTCTGGTCAAACGAATGAAAGGGCTCCTGGGAGCCGTTTGAGTCTTGGCTCAGTACATCTCCTGAGGAGCTCAGGGCCCAGGACGTCGGCGCGCCGTCTTCACCACCCGCCGGAAGCCTGAGGGATTCTGAAACCTGCTGCATCACTCTCTCAAAGTCTGGGGTCTTGTAGGCTCCCAGGAGCTCCCTCAGTAGGTGCTTGTGCTGCTGCAGGGCTGTCTGGGTCCCCTGCAGGGTTTCCTGGACGCTCTGCAACCTACGGTGGAGCGACTCCCTCACCGACTGTGCGGCAAAGCTGAGCTCCGCTCTGACCCACGTGGCATCAGCCAGGACGGGAGCCAGGCCTTGCGGGACGGTCTGCTGTCCGCCTCCTGATGCATCAACTGCCTCGCCTCCCAGAGTCCCCAAGTGCTTTCTCAGAAACTCGACCTGGCTCCAGAACTCGCCATCCACCAGCACCTTCTTGGCCCAGGCATCTGCGGGGGCCCCAGTAGAGGCTGTGGCACCCTCAGACTCCAACAACAGCTTTCCTGACTGAGAAATCTCGTGGAGAACATGTGAGATATCTGATGTTGTGTTCTTTAAAGAGTCTGCTATCTGGCTGATCAGCGAGGCCTCCAGAGCTATTTGATCGGAAAGGAGCCTCACCTGCTCCTGCTCAGTCAGTTCGGGCTGGGAAGGTTGCCGCTGGGGGGCTGGCACCCCATTCTCCACGGAGCTGCCCTCCTCCACCTGGGCATGGGCCCCGCTGTCGGCGGGGGCTGGCCTGTGCCGCAGGGCTTGGATGGCACTGACAAGTGCGCTCTCCATGCTGGCCAGGGAGGCCGCCCGCGCATCCTGCTCATCTTCCTGACTGGCTCTCGGCAGAGATCTCAGCTGTTCTCGGCAGTTTTCCAAGCAAGTCAGGGCCTGACTATTTTTCACCTGGAAGTTCCCAAGCTCCCCAACATGACCTTCAACCCTCCTGGCCCTCTCTTGCCTCTCCTGCTCCAGCTGGGAGGTCAATGCACTGACTTGGAGCAGGCTGGCATGGAGCTGCTCACGGAGCTGGGCCTCGGTGCCAGCCCACTGGTGGTGCAGTGCAAGCAGCGCCTCCTGGCTCTGGCCCTGCTGGCTCTCCAGCCTGATGGTCACATCTTTGAGCTTCTCCTCTGTGACATAGAGCTTGGTCTCTAGGGAGTGTATGATGGACAGGTACATCTCAGAGTCACCAGTGGCAGGCAGTGCGCTGGGTGCAGCCTCAGAGGACATGCTTTCCTCCGAGGGTGACCGGTCCTGGCTGGTGTCGGAAGATGTGCTGCTGGTCCAGGTCTTCTCAGACCCTTCAGGGTGGACATATCTCTGGCACTGGATTGTGGAGAACCGGATCCTCTGCCTTTTCACACCATGCGCCCCCTGGTCGGGTCTGGCTGTGCTCTGCAGGTGCCCCTCCCTGTCAGGCACCTCCACCAACTTCGGGGGTAGCATGTTCTCTTCCCCGCCAGGGCTGCCATCCCCATACCCCTCCCCCAGGCCATCCTCCTCAAGCCTTGCATGTGGGGAGCCCAGAGGTGCCCCTATGGCTTGGAGCTGTTGGCCCAGGAGTGAAATGCCATCCTCCTCCGTTTCGTCCGGGGCATTCTGTGGCTCTTCCATGTCTTTTGAAGATTCATTTGCAAATTTCCTTAAAATCTCTTCCTTTGCCTGAAGCTTAATTTCTGTTTCCTCTAAGCTGCTCCCCAAGACAACCATTTTAACCAAAGCCTCATTGAGGTCCTGATCTTTCTTTTCCAGAACCTTCTCGTGTACTTCCTTGATGTGCTCCAGCTCCTCCTCCTTCTCTTTCAGCAGAACGTGCATGCTCTGGAGCTGGCTGGAGACCCTCTGGTAGGAGCGCTCTAGGCTTTGGCAGTCAGCCTCTCTTCCCCTCAGCTTCTCCTGGAGCTCAGCCATGTCCCCATCAGATGCGGTCACACGCTCAGTCAGCTCTTGGAACTGCTGCCTGAGGAGGTCCCGCTCGTCACAGAGGCTCTGCACATGCTCAGTGAGCCTGCGAATGCTGCTCTCACGGGCCGCCAGCTGCTCCTCCAGCTGGTGCACCTGCTCACTGCCCTCAAACGTGGCGCTCAGCTTCTCCTTCTGGAGGGCACCCACGTGCTGGGCGTGGCCCTGCAGCTGGTCCTCGTAGGTGCTGGCCTTGTCTTCCACCTCCTTCAGGTTCTGCAGCAGCACCTGCTTCTCCTTCTCGTAGCTCTCCAGCAGCAGCTCGTAGTTCCTCTGTAGCTTCTCCTCCATCAGCCGCTGGGCCTGCTCGCTGGCGCTGAGCTGCTGGCTGAGGTCAGTGATGCGCTCCTGCAGCCTCTGCACTTCCTTCTGCCGGTCCTGCTGCAACGCCTGCTGCGTCTCCAGGTCCCGCAGCTCCTGTGTCTTCTCCAGCAGCAGAGCCTCAGCGCTCTTGAGCTTCTGCTCACTGGCCCTCAGCTGGCCACTCAGCGCCGCCTCGCTGTGCTGCCGCTCCTCCAGCTGCTCACGGACCCTGCCCTGCTCCCGCTTCAGGTCGCCCTTGAGCTTGGCCAGTGCCTGCTCCTTGATGACCAGCTCGGCGGCGGCATTGCTGAGCCGCGTCTGCAGGCTCCGGATCTCGGCCTCGTGGTGCCGGATTGCATCCTTGGCCTCCCCATAGCTACGTTTCAGGGTCTGAATCTGGTGCGTGATCAGCTCCTGGCGCTGGCACTGGGCTTCGAGCTCACTTTGGAGGTCTTGGTTGACTCTATGGAGCCTCTGCCAGGCGCCCGATGGGGAGGTGGCCACTTCAGTCTTAAAAAAACCGATTAAATACTGGTTAGTAACACTCGGGCCTCCCAGTTCTGAGTGTCACACCTCTGGCCAGGAACAACCACAGAAAATCTCCTTGGTGTGTTTAGCTTTTATGCTCCGCACATTTTTTTCCCCATTAACAAAATCCAACAAATCATCTTAATTTTTTTGGGGGGAGGGGAGAGTAAATAGCTGCTTCCAGGTAAACAGAAACATGGACAATAACATCAAAAAACAGCTTTAACTGAACAGCTTCTAGGATAAATAAACCAAACAAAACTGAATAATGGAACACACTGAGAAGCAAAACGAGACTAAAGGACAGAGAGCCGCGCGCAGAGGGACAGACAGGAGGAGCGGAGCACCTGCAGCTGTCTGTCTGTTTGCAAATAACAAGTACATGGTTCTTTACACCAAACCCTAAAAAAGTGCAGGATGTAAGGTGTAAGTAAATGATGTCACTTCCTTCTAAGAGAGGGAGAGAAGGAAGGAAGGTAACGCTTGGGAGATGTCAGTAAGGTGACATCTGAACATTTTCCTTTGCAAAGTGTACCCAGTCCTCCACAGTAACAGGAAGAACTTATCTCTACCTGCAAGAAGACAAAACAAGGGAAGAAATGGAAACCATGGAGAAGAATATGATAACCAACAAAACAAACAAACCTTTGCGAAGTTCAAAATAAGAAAGTGAAGCACGCAAAAAATAAATAAATAAAACAAAACATAAATGAAATGAAATTCCCCAAACTGAAAGGCATGCAGAATAGACACAACTCATACAGTGAAGGGGAACCAACACAGACAATACTGAGACGAGCCCAGAATGGAATTCGGCCCGACTGTGCCCCTCTCGGTGTACTGGCCGGGGAAGCCACAGATGTGACACTCAGTTATGTTAAGTTCAAATCACACTCCACCATCAGCATCCACACCATGCATGCGTGTCCCAGCAGCATAACGCCCACCCCAGCGGCTGCTCCTCCTGGCCCTTAACCCCAAAGACCCATTGCTCACTGTTGGTTATAAGCATTTCTAAAGCTCAAAGGGTGGTGAAAAGTGACAAGTTATTAGCTTAGCACGAAGGTATTAGACCAGCTTTGCCCAGTGACCCAGAGGGGCTTCTGCGTAGGCTCATGTGACTGCCCACATTAGACATGGAGGCAAGCTCTTAGGTTAGCAATGTGCAAAGTCTGCTGCTGGTACAGGCTGAGTATCCCTTATCCATAATGCTTGGGACAAAAAGTGTTTTGGATTTTAAAATATTTGCATTATACTTAGGGGATGGGCATCCCAAATCTGAACATCTAAAATCTGAAACGCTTCAATGAGCATTTCCTTTGGGCATAATGTCAGTGCTCAAAGTTTTGAATTTCAGAGCATTATGGATTTCCGAATATGGGATGCTCAACCTGCATCTTTACCCCTGAGTTGAAGTCAATTCTTATAGTATGGGGGCCCATTCAAGGCTTTGAAAGATGCTCCCAAGCCCTGTGGGGCCTGTGCGAAGGACCCAGGGAGAGGCCCAACACTGCCATTCCTGGTGCCCAAGAGTGTGAACTGGGTCAGGCAGTGATGACAGCGGAGGAGGCTGGGGAGGAGGGTCCAGGACACATGGGAGAGAAAGAAAGAGAAGGCTCAAGGTACATGCAGCAAAAGAAACAGCACAGAGAGAAGCAGGTAGGCAGACTGGTCAGAGTGCTCCTGGGATACCTCTCAGACCAGGGCCAGTGCACAGTGGTCTGAAACGTCAACACTCAACTCATCACTGAGACTCTGGGTCTTCAAAAGCCAAAAGGACCTTAACGGCCCACCAGGTCCAAGCCTACAAAGCAGAGGACTACTGCTGCAGGGGAAAGGACATTTGCACTTCCTTTTGGGTTCTGTTGCAGGGCCAGAACTCGAACCCAGGACCTTGACTCTAATGCCATATCCTCAGCCCTCATGAGAACTAGGCTCCCCAGTCTGTCACCCTGTTTCAAATCTCCCCCAGCACTTAGTCATCAATCTCCCAAAAGCATGACAGCTTCACGGGGGCAGAACATATCTGTTTTGCCCCAGAAATAGCACAGGGCCTGGCAGGCTGCAAGACAGTTCACCCATGTGGGCCTGCCCTGGTGCCAGGCTAACTCCTGCCCCATGACAACCCACGTTCAGCCTACTGGCCCTTGTGAAGCTGGCTGCTAGCTAGGAGCCTGTGGTGCACAGATCTTGGTGGAGGTGTGCTGGCTGTGGGCTGTCGGCACAGGACCCATGCTGCCACTGCCTCATCTCCCTTCTAGGCTGGGCTGGCCAGGTTGGCTCAAGGCTAGGTGGTCCCACTGTCCCCCTAACACTTCAGCCTTGGCAGAAAGTAGAAAGTGGGACCACAGGGCTGGTGGTAATAGCCTTGGGCGTGCCTGCAGGTGTGATACAAACAAAGGCAGGGAGGATTCAGCTCTAGCTCTGTCTTTAACTTGCTGTTGGTCATGAGCAGCCACGTGGCTCGCTGTGTGATTCAGTCTGTACAGTGGGCAACACCGCTATGGTGGAAGCAATTATAAATTTATAATTATAAATGGCACGCAAATGTATGTTTATAATAAATCTATCTCAGCTACTTTCAGATCCAAAAGCAGAGACTACCAAAATGATTTTATTACCAAAAAAAGTCCTTAGATACAGAAGTTTCAGACAGGTCCCCCAAATGTCATACTAAGAGGGAGCTCCCCCCAGCACACTGCGAGCCCTGGCCTCATGGCAGAGGAGCCCAGAGGCATGCGCTTGAGGAGGTGGCCCCTGCCCAGGCAGGTTTTGCACATTCCTAGCCTGCCTGGCCTGAGCCCAAGCCCTGCACACAGAAGCCCTCGAGCACCATGTGGTCCCTGCCCACCCTACCTGCAGCACGTAGCCCTCCCGGGCGCTCTGCTCCCGGCCCAGGGCCACCCTCAGCTGGTCCTGCAGGAGTCGGTTCTGTTCCAGAAGGTCTGAGGCTTCCCTCTGGCTCTGCTCTAGCTGTTAGCAAAAAGACACATATTTTTAAGCAAAATGACAATAAACAAAAGCAGCAGCAGAGCACAGGCCCACAGAGGCATGCATTTCTGACTCCAGCTAGACTTCCACTTGGAGTCCCCACACTTCAGGAGATGTGCTGATCTGCTCTCTACCTGCATCACTGGGAAGGTTCCAGCTTAAGCCGTCAGGCTCAGTGTCTTCTGGGGAACCAGGGGACTGGCTTGCCCCCACCCCCACCCCCATCCCAGGCAGCCCTGGGCACCCACATAATTTCCACACTTGCCCACAGTTCCAACACGCAGGCCCCACACAGGTACTAAGTCCCACCTGCTCCCTGGGAAGCCCCATGAGGTCCTTCCATTGTCCTCAGCCACCCGCACAGGCCTGGTGGGCCTCCCCCAGCAGGCCTCACTCCAGGCCCTGCTATGGCTTCACCTGAAACTACTCCATCTGACTGGTTTTACATAATGGATTCCACATAGAGTTTTACTTGCAAGAAGGGTCCTCAAACAAGATGTAGAAACCCGTGAGTAAACTATTTCACACTTCTCTTGCTTTCAACAGCTTTAGAGTTACTCACTCATCCACCCACCTCCTCCTCATAGGTTTCCTGGGTGCCCTCTTGCCACTCAGCTGGGGCTGACTGGGACTGCCTGCCCCGTCCCCGGGCCGTGGTGAGCAGGCGCCGGTGTGCACGGGCAGCCAGGACCAGCTCCTCCCGGGGCGCGGCCAGGCTGTGCTGCGAGAGGGGGAAACCCAACTTCTAAACATTAAGGACAGGCTGCTATCTAGAACTACAAACTGATGAGCCAGCGTGTGGCCTGCAACTAGCTCATTTTGGTAGTTTTCAGCAGTGTGAGTTTGAAATGTTATTTTATTTCATCTTGCTTTTATTATCTTATTAATGGATATAGAAAATGAAGAAGTCCAAGTGTTGATGCAGTGATAACTGAGCCTCACAAATTTAATGAAACAGGAGGCACACCCGAGTGGCCAATCTTCAGCTTTAACGAGCTACTTATGTAAAAGAATGCATTTGAAATACACTGTTGGAGACTGTCCCTGAACAGACGGTTAAACATGTTGTTTAACAAAAACCAAAATGCTACACCTCCCTGGCCCTGGGGCTGATGTGAACCCCTTGTTGAAGTTTTGCAGATTTGATTTCAGGATACACTTCCATGAGAACATCTCATGATACAACCTACGGCTGGAGCATTCATGGCTGTGCCCCAGCCCGAGCCCAGATGTGAAGGTGACAGTTCGAGTCCTTCCTACAAAGCCTGCCCCACCCTGCTTCATGTCCTTAGCACCCAGGACCTAGCCTTTGCCTCCACTGCCTGCCACACACCCTCAGGTCTGTCCAAGGGCCACTGTCATAGCATTTGGGCTTATCCCTGTCTCCAGCTTCGATCTGTTCAACCCAGACTGCCCAGTGCAGATGGATACCTGATTCCCTCTTCTTAACAGGTAGAGCAAGCCCTGCCACCACACTCGCCTTGTGTCTGGCTCCTCTGTCCTTGAAAGGCCCTGATGATCTCTGCCCGATGCCCCCACCTGCACCCCGCATCTCTCAGCATCTGCCTCGACTATAAGGACCCTCCATGTGTCTATCTACCTTACAGGTCTGCATGTCCCTCAAGGGGAAAGACAGTGTGGCCGAACCCCTCTGGCCATGGCTGGGCACAGCCAATGCACAGGAAAGGCTGCTACAGGGGAGCCCGCCCCAAGTCGTAGTTACCTCCTTCTCTAGCAGAGAGGTCAGCTCCTGGGCGGAGAGCCGGTCTCCTCCGTCCTCAGAGGAGGACAGGTGCAAGGGCATGATGGGCACCTGCTTTTCTTCCCGCAGAGGGGTGGTCTCCACCTGATGCCACCGCTGCTCAATCTCCACATGGACATTCTGTGTCTTGAGGTCGGGGGTCACAGGCAGCCCTGGACTCCGGTCCACCTCCATGCGTAGGGCCACATCCTCCGCGTCTGCCATCCCAAAGCGCTTGCGGCGCTCCTCCCGCCGTCTTGTGCGCTCCCGCTCAAGCTCGCCAGGCTCTGCCTCAGGGTGCCCAGGCTCGTAGGAATCGGGGGCTCCCATGGGGGGCCGCACGGCGCCAGCCCTCTCCTGAGCCAGGGCCTGCTGGATGGGGCGGAACTCAGCCCAGTCGAAGGTCTTGGAGCGGCCCTCCCGCCTCCGCTCTCGAGCGCGGCTCCTCTTCTGCTCAGGGTCCAGCTCCCCTGGCTCTGCCTCTTGCTTCTCACTCGGCCTCGGGCAGGTGTCAAAAGAGGAGCTGCACTTGTTCTTTTCCTCTGGCAAGGAGCTGCAGGGCAGGAGGGTAAACACAGCCTTTGTTGGGGGCAGCTCTGGGGACCCCCCTGCCCACCAAAGGGCTGGCAAGGTGAGCTGCAGCCCAAGGCTCTGCTTGTACCACACCCCTGTTCTATCACACCCGCAGTTTCCAGGGATATCTCATTCCTATCCCTCCCTGCTGGCATTGCCGTTACCCCAAGCAACCCTTCTCGAACCTGATTCTAACAGGAGGAGGAGGGATGAGAGCTTCAGACACTCGGAGGTTTCTAGCATATTAGTACTAACAGGACTCCTTCACTGAAGGGTGCTGGACAGGGCGCATCCTGGCGGCCTGTCCCAGGGTGACGGAGCCTGTGGACTCCCACAGCCCACAGACAGGACGGGCTGGCCCACCCCACCCAGGGCCAATGCCGAGAGCGGCATCAGACTGTGCCATGGCACTGTCACCATCCAAATGTTTGGTGAGGCCACCTCTGTGCATGCCTGGACTAGGTGGTGGTGACAGAATGAAGGAGAACTAACCACTTCCCCAGAAGGGCTCAGAGGTTTTAATAAGTAGGTAACATGACCAGATCTGCATTTTATAAGCCCACTCTGGCTGCGGACATGACAGATGGATCAGAATGAAAGGCTGAGACCACCCATGGGCAAAGGAGACAGGTGGCCATAAGCCCATACCACGCAGTGGGCGAGGCTGCTCAGAGGAGGAAGGAGGAGAGAAGGAAACTGAGGTGGCAAGAGGCGTCAGGGACACGGGCCATGTAGGTTGTGCTCACAGCATGCCTGGTGCCCAGCAGCAGCCCAGGGCGGAGCTGGGTGTGTCTAAAGAACTCACACCTTTTCTCAGTCTACCCAAATCAAAGCTTCCTGGGCAGGCCTCGCCTTGGGCAGGAGAGAGCTGGGGATATTGCCAAAGGCAAATTTGCAAGGAGCAAATGGATTTGAGCAGAGGTTTCTGGACTCCACTGATAAGCCCCAAAGGCTGACCGGAGTGGTCCACAATCTCATCCAGGCCTTGGAAGGGAGCCAGAAGCCACCCAGGGATAGTGAGGGAAAGGGGGGAGCTCTAGGGAGCACATATGTTTAAATCGGGGCCATGGAGCCTGCAAAAGAGGCACATGAGGAAAAGATGAAGTGGCTGCCGTCATCCCCGGGGGCCACCTGTCCCAGCCTTGAGCTGGTGAAAACCATAGTGCTTTGGAGTGGTTGGATCTGCAAGCGTCTGGTTTAAGAGCACACTGACATTTGGATAAAAATGATCCAGAGCAGATCTTCCAACATCATCGAGCAGACAGCACTGGCTCAGGTTCCTGGTGGCAGGAAGTGCGGGATGACACACAAGTAGGCCGTACACAGCGACCCCCACGGAGTCCCGCCGGCTGCCCCTCAAGGCTTTTCTGGCCCTGAACGCCAGAAGCATCCTCCACTTCCCAGCCACAGACAACGAGGCCAGTAGCTTCTGAGAGTAATCCTGCTTTCATGCCTCACTTGGAGTTTGTCTTACAGCACTAAGAATATTCACATTTTCCTCAAATAATGAAAGCCAACACAGAGGAAGAACAAAGGGTGAAAACAACTGGCACTCTCCTAACTTATTAAGACTTACTAGCTTATGAAGTAAATCTAGCAGGAAGATAACTGCCTGGTCAACTTTTGTACAAAAACAAATCCGTGGTCTCTTCATTCACCCCCTGGTCAGCAGTCCCTGCGTGCAGGGAAGCGGGCACTGGAGCAAGGCAGGCCACCTCTCCTGGGCCGTGCACAGGCACACACGTGTGGCATGGGGGCCAGGCCTGGCTGGGATGAGGCAGGAGGGAGAGGCTCTGGAGCCACCCACCCCTGTGTGTCTACCCCTGCTATACCCCGCCTGGAGCCCGCGAGGCACTTTCTATCTGCTGCCAGCAACCTTAGCAAAGAAGCCTGAGGTGCATTTCTTACTTTGCTATGGGGCTTCCTAATAAAAGTGCTTGGAAAAGAGCGTTGGGCTCCCGAAGCTTGGGTCTGTGCTCCTGACGGGAGAGCCACAGAGGCAGAGGCAGGGGCCTCCAGAGCATACGTCCTGTAAGGGTGGGAGTACCTGCTGCAGCCCTGGGCACTGCTGCCCAGCTGCACACACACAGGGTACCCACTCACCAACAAGCCAGCTCTCCAAACAGGACCCCAGAGATGGAAAAAGGGCAACTAGGCCTGGCTTTACTGATGCAACAACTAGACAGTGTTTGTCTGACAAAGCAACGAACAAATGACAGACACAGGAAAAAGGACTAAAGAATCGATCTGGGTGGCTTTTCCTTACTTCTTATTCGAAGCGGTGTGGAGTCTGCAGAAGGAGACAAAGGTTCAGATAAAGAAAGGGATGGCCAAGGCTGCCCGGGCTGCGACCTCACTGCCTCCACAAAACTTGACCTGTGATGCAAGAAACGTACCTGCGGAGTAACCTGCACCACACCTGAGAAATGTGCACCAGAGGTCCTCAGACACAGAGGCTCTGAAGCCCTGGGGTGAGACAGCAGAGTTCTGGCCTTCAGAAAACCACCCCCACACTCTGGAATCTTCTCACTTTCTTTTAAAATGAAAGCCAGCAGGGCTTCCAGGGCAGGAGGAAGGCAAGTGGTGAAATGCAAGGCAGACGAACCACAGAATGCTAACACAGGAGAGAACAGTTTTCTACTCTGAGGTTTCAGCTCTGAGAGTTTCAAAGAGAAGTTGTTACTGGCTGATAGAAACAAACCTGTCGGAGTGATGTGAAAAGAAGGCCAAGGCACAGAAGAGCCACGGTGGCCTGAGAACGCAGAACCCAGTGCTACCCTCCCCAAGCAGCATAGCGGCCAGAGAACCAGCAACAGGCCTGAGGCTGAGCCAGGCTGGCTAGGTGCCACCAACCAAGACACAAGATTCTATACACAAGGCGAGCTCTACTGATGGGCATAAATGCAGCCTGCATGACTAAACTGGCCAGGTGTCGATGAGGAAAAGGTAATCTGGGCAGAAACATGAGAAAGCCAAGAGGAGGCCGAGCAGAGGTGAGACAAAACAAAGGAGAAGCCAGGCTGGGCTTCAGCTGGAGCAGGAGCACGAGGGGCTCCCAGGCATCTCCCACCACCTTACCTGGTCACATCTGGGGTGGTGGCCGGGTGCACGTGCTTCATGATGGTCTGGATCCAGTTCCTCCGGATTCCAGATGTCATGGCAGACAGGGTGAACTCACCATCCTTTGTCTACATGAAAGACACAAGATGTTATTAGTGACTGTCCCCTGGAGGTAACTGCTGCCTCCCACCTGCAAAGGAGCCCCCTGCACTGGGCACAAAGTCCTGCAGGGAAAGAGGCCATAGCCAGCAGCCCCCTAGGAGCACTGCATGTGCCCGCTACAGGGGCAAGAAAAGAAGTGGATGGCAGAGCCATGGCAGGGACATGTTTTCATGGCAATGGTAAGTCAGCTATCTCCCCTCAATATGATCAGCACACATTGACCGAGCACCTACTAGGTACCAGCAGCATGCCAAGTACACACAGAGGAGGATGTGTCCCTCTCTTTAAGGAGTTCCCAGCCTTGGAGGGATAGACAGAACCAGCGTGTGCTGAGCAGTGGGGGAGTGGGGCAGCAGCATCTACAGGTGCTGCTCACACACACAGGTGGACGGCCAACTCACACACACAGGTGGATGGTGAACAGGCCGATCAAGGTCTGGTTGGAAAGTCATACTGAAAAAAGGCAGGGAGCCCCGAACTCACACATAGGTGCTGCTCACACACACAGGTGGACGGCAGACAGGCCGATCAAGGTCTGGTTGGAAAGTCATACTGAAAAAAGGCAGGGAGCCCCACCGGGCAGCTGCTACAGCTGTCCAGGTGATGAGGATTAAGACGGGGGCGGGGGGAGTCTTGGGCTCAGGAGAAGTAATAGGGTGAGCAGGTGTGCCACTGACTGGGCACCATTTTAAAATGAAAGCCAGCAGAGCTTCCAGGGCAGGAGGAAGAAGGCAAGTGGTAAAATGCAAGGCAGACAAACCACAGAATGCTAACAAAGGAGAGAACAGTTTTCTAACCTAGGTTTCAGCTCTGAGAACTTCAAAGACCTGCTCACCCCATTACTTCTCCTGAGCCCAAGACTCCCCCCTCCTCTTCCACTGTCTTAATCCTCATCACCTGGACAGCTGTAGCAGCTGCCCGGTGGGGCTCCCTGCCTTTTCACAGTATGACTTTCCAACCAGACCTTGATCGGCCTGTCCGTCGTCCACCTGTGTTGTGTGAGTTCAGGCTGTAGATGCTGCTCCCCCTGCACGGGACGGGCAGCCCGTCCCCCACCTCCTGGGCACCTCAGGACAAGCCCCAAACTCCAGCTTGTGTGATTCAATAAGATCATCAATCAAGATGGGCAGTGATAGGGGAAGGGCCTGTTCCAGGTGGGGAACAAGGCAGCAGGTGGGAAAAAGGCACCCAGAGTAGTGTGGGCTCCGCGACGTGACCCCTCCATCCCTGAGTGGCCCTGCCTGGCACCTCCCAGAAAGGAGGTGTGTGGTGTGTCCCAGGCCAGCCCCCAGACATGATGGCACAAGCCAGGAAGTCAAGTGCCAAAGCCATGCTGGGCCCAAGTGTGGGTCAGGGCTGGTCCTGCCCTGAGGTTGTGGAAAGCACTGGAAAGTGCTAACTGCTTGCTCTGCACCTGCAGGCATAGCCCAACAGATGTGAGGGTTGCAGTCCTATCCTGTGGCTGCTCACAAATGGACCCAGGAGCCAGCTCAGCAAAGTTGCTGACAGAAGGATAAAATCACAGACAGTTTTTGTCTGGACCCTAGTCTGGCCAGGGGCCCAACACATGCAGGTCTGGTGTGACACAAAGCACAGCTCAGACGTGAACTGCTCCTCCACCTTGGTCCCTTCCACACAACCCAGTAAAGACACGGCTGCTGCTCAGCTGGGCTGTCCCTCATCGGCTCCGCCCCTGTGCTCCCCGCCAGGGCTGTCCTTATGCCCGGGTGTGAGCACTGCTAGAGTCTGGCCTCAGCTCCACGTGGATCTCACTTCCCCAGGTGAGCTCTCATTCCCAAGGGTTGCCTGTCTGGTGTTCTCCAAGAGCCCACCACAGGTTCAAACATGCCACTGGCCAGAATTCCAGAGGCCCCCTCCTTCTGTGAAGCCAGCTCTTGGATTCTACACAGGGCATTGCCATGCTCTAGGTCCTGCCCCTCTGCACCTGCTCTCCCTCCCACCGGCACTTAGCTCCCTCCTTCTGTGCCCAACCAAACCATGCCAGTCTGCCTTGCTCCCTTCTAGCCACCCTCCACGTCCTGCTGGACACGTCTCACAAATGCAGTTGCCTGGTGTCTTCCAATACCTTCCTGTACTTTACAAAACCTCAGGGCAAGACTAGCTCCCAACCTGGCACCTGGGCCCCAACCTGGCCTCTGTACCCAGCTTTCTCTCCATGCCACCAGGTCTGGGACATGCCATACACTTGGCCTCCAACTATGCCTCACAGGACCCTCCTCTAGGAAGTCCCCTCCATGTGGAAAACACCCCTCCTTACTTAGAATTCTTGACCACTGGGGCTCATAGGAAGGCACCACTGAGATGGCCCACACCCCCGTCCATCACTGGGAGAGCAGGACCCCATCTCTTAGACAGCAGGCCCTGCCCAGGGAAACCTGCCCATCACCATGGGGAGGCGGCTGGCTAGAGAAGACACACACTGAGCCCTGCACCTGTCTATCCCTCCTGCAAGGGACCAGAGGCAGAAGAGCCTTGCAGCAGGGCAGCATGGGCCACTAAGAGACCAGCTCACACCTGGCCAGGGTGCCAGGACATCAGTGCAGCCTCTGACCATGACTTAGTTCCCACCACAGATGCCTGCACAGAGGGAAGCCATGACCAGTGCCCCGAGGGCTGGCAGCTGGGATGCTCCCGGTAAGTGAACTCACTGGCCTTTAGGTCTATACTTCAGTCTCCTCTAAGTTGGGTTAATCTGAGTTATCCACAAAAGTGCCTGATCAACTCTCAACACAGCAATACAACTGAGTTCCTGGGCCCAAAAATCTGAAGGCAAGACCCTGCTACAGGGAAGCTCATCAGAGGTCCAGACTTGTGTGAAAAAATAGGTCTCAGGGCACATCTGCATGGTAGCAGCTCTCTATCCATTAGGTACTGTCAAGGCTCTGGTGGGTAAAGAACTAACTTACCCCAAGAGGCCTGGCTTTTGTCCTGGCTCCTAGGAGGTAACTTCTAACTCTTAGAATTTCCTGAGTGAGTAGAGTGCCTTCATTACTCATGGTGGTCCCCTGGGACCCAGTCTGACAGCTCGTGCTGATAAGATGACTCAGGGTGGAGGCTGTCCATGCCAGAAAAACCAACCATGAAATCAGAGGGTTGGGGTTTGGGGCCGAGAGAAATCAGCTGGCCTCTAGGAGGAGGGCCAGAGACTGAGTTGCACTGAGAGAACAATCAATCCTGACAGTTACCGAGCCTCAGTAAAAACCCTGGACACTGGCCAGGCACTGTGGCTCATGCCTGTGATCTCTGCACTCTGGTTGGCAGTTTGAGACCAGTCTGAGCAAGAGCAAGACCCTGTCTCTACTGAAAATAGAAAAATTATCTGGGCATGGTGGCATGTGCCTGCAGTCCCAGCTACTCAGGAGGCTGAGGCAGGAGGATTGCTTGAGCCCAGGAGTTTGAGGTTGCTGTGAGCTAGGCTGACGCCACGGCACTGTAGCCCCAGCAACAGAGTGAGACTGTGTCTCAAAAAAAAGAAAAAAAAAAAAAAGAGGGAGGGAAAAAACACCCTGGACACTGAGGCTCAGGCAAGCTTCCTAGCAACGCTCTTCATAATGACTCACAGCAAGGCCGAGCAGGCCCATAACCCCAAACATAGACACTGTGTGCTATGCCTCCTAGTCCCAGATCCTACCCACACCCCTTCCTTTGGCAGGTTCTAATTTTTTATCCTCTTGCTATAATTAAACCAATTTTAAGTATAGTGTTTCCCTGAGTTTTGTGAGTCATTCTAGAGAATTCCTGAACCTGAAGGTGGTTTGGGAAATCTCTGAACTTGCAACTGCTGTTGGAAGTGAGGGCAGGTGTGGCAGTCAAGAGGACTAGCCCTTGGCCAGGCATGGTGGCTCACACTTGTAATCCCAGCACTCTGGGAGGCTGAGGCGGACGAATTGCTTGAGGTCCGGAGTTCGAAACCAGACTGAGCAAGAGCGAGACCCCGTCTCTACTATAAATAGAAAGAAAACTAATCGACCAACTAATATATATAGAAAAAATTAGCCGGGCATGGTGGCACATGCTTGTAGTCCCAGCTATTCAGGAGGCTGAGGCAGAAGGATCACTTGAGCCCAGGAGTTTGAGCTTGCTGTGAGCTAGGCTGATGCCACAGCACTCACTCTAGCCTGGGCAACAAATCGAGACTGTGTCTCAAAAAAAAAAGAGGACTAGCCCTCAACCTTGAGGATGGCTGACTCTAGGCAGTCCTTAGTCCACACAGCTTCAACGACACGGCCAGTGAGAACCACTTCATTTGTCCAATCACATTATATTTTTCAAGGGTAGGGCAATATGTTGCTTATCTGAGTACCTCAAGAGATTTCAGGAAAAAATAGCCTTATGAGTGAATGAGTGAACAAATGAATGAATATGTGAATAAAAACCTATTTCTCTGAGATTTAAATAATAGACTGTCATTCTTTTTTTTTTTTTTTTTTTTTTGAGACAGAGTCTCGCTTTGTTGCCCAGGCTAGAGTGAGTGCCATGGTGTCAGCCTAGCTCATAGCAACCTCAAACTCCTGGCTCAAGCAATCCTCCTGCCTCAGCCTCCCGAGTAGCTGGGACTACAGGCATTCGCCACCATGCCGGCTAATTTTTTTTATATATATTAGTTGGCCAATTAATTTGTTTCTATTTTATAGTAGAGACGGGGTCTCGCTCTTGCTCAGGCTGGTTTCGAACTCCTGACCTCGAGCAATCCGCCCGCATCGGCCTCCCAGAGAGCTAGGATAACAGGCGTGAGCCACCACGCCCGGCCTAGACTGTCATTCTTATTCCCCATATCCCACATCCTTCCAAATGCTCCAAATACCAGCATTTTAAAAAAGAAAAAAGAAAAGGACCTTCAGAAGCAAAAATCTTTAAACAGTCTTGGAAAAAAAAAAATCTGCTAGCATCCAGTTTTTTGTTCAGATCACAAGTTGCAGGTGGGAGTCAGGTCCCAAGGACAGAGACATCAACACTAACGGGAGAGACCAACTGCTGACCACACACACCACGCCAAGTCTGCTCAAAGTGCACTGGCTGAGGACATCAGTCTCTCTGAGACATGTTCCTGCTAGTCAAGCCGCAGCCCTCCCCTCCACTCCTGGGGCTCACATGGATCTGGAAGCCATAGTTTCTCTGGACTGGATACTCTGTGACATCATAACATGTAGACAAGTCAATTTCCCCATCCAAGTCAGATGCCTGCAGAGATAAATAGAGGGTCGTATGAGATTTCGGAAGAGTCAATGCCCAGATAAGCAAATTTCCGTAACTTCCTGAGTGGACTTTATTTTTTGAGGGTGTGTGAACTGACAAGTGAAGATACTGCCTATCCCATCACCTGCATCCCCCAGATCCCCTCCCCGGACGCAGCCAAACCACCATCTGCCCATGTATCTGGTCAAAGGTATTCCGCATGCCCGTGGTTCTCTAAAACATAGTGATATTGGAACTCCTTTAGACTCTTCAAATTTGAGGAGGTGTTTTTGTGTATGTAGATTTTATCTAATGATGATATTTTCTGTCTTAGAAATTAAAATCGAAAAACTTAAACATGTTTATTCATTTAAGAATAAAACAAACATTTCATTTTAAAATAAAATTTTGATTAAAAAACCAATGATAAGAGTAACACTGTTTCAAATTTTTGCACATCTCTCAAATGTCTGGCTTCACAGAAGACAGCTGGGTTCCCCTATTTTGTTTCTGCACTCAGTCTGCTCAGTACATCATTTTCGTTGAAATATAAGATGACACTCTCATCTTACACAGATATGGAGTTAGAAGAGGAAATACTTTAATAGCCTTTTCAGCAAACTGTGGTTGTTATTTTTTCTTTTCTTTTTTTTTTTTTCTTCATGAGACAGGGCCTTGCTGTTCCCCAGGCTAGAGTGTAGTGGTACAATCAGAGCTCACTGTAACCTCTAAGTGGTGTGCTCAAATGATCCTCCCACCTCAGCCTCCCAAAGTGCTAGGATTAAAGGCACCAGCACCATGCCCGGGTGTGGCTATTCTTTGACAAGTGATAGTTTCTTAAAGGTTAACTGCGATGTGGAATCTGGAATCATACCAAGGAACTGTCTGTATTGTTACATTAAAATAAGCTGTTCTGGCCGGGCGCGGTGGCTCACGCCTGTAATCCTAGCACTCTGGGAGGCCGAGGTGGGCGGATTGCTCAACGTCAGGAGTTCAAAACCAGCCTGAGAAAGAGCAAGACCTCGTCTCTACTATAAATAGAAAGAAATTAATTGGCCAACTAATATATATAGAAAAAATTAGCCGGGCAGGGTGGCACATGCCTGTAGTCCCAGCTACTCGGGAGGCTGAGGCAGCAGGACCACTTGAGCCCAGGAGTTTGAGGTTGCTGTGAGCTAGGCTGATGCCACAGCACTCACTCTAGCCTGGACAACAGAGTGAGACTCTGTCTCAAAAAAAATAAATTAAATAAAATAATAATAATAAAATAAGCTGTTCTATCCTGCCCTTTGAATGTATTTTACCCAGGCAGGATTGTGTAACACTAGGAATTGGTCACTTGGAAAATATTAAGTTATTACAGTTTCCAAATGTCTACATATCCCATATTTAAGAGCAAAAATATCATGCTTGTTAACATCACCATGCATCTCATCAGGAGAGTCTGTTAGTAAAGGGAAGTTCACAATATTGAATACAAAGTTTTAATTTTTGCTTGAAAGCTCAAATTGTATCATTGGCAACGAACTGTCAGTTGTTTTCCTTGAAAGATGAGTTCACTTGGTTCATTTACATGAAAACATCTGCTCAACGCCCAAAATTTGTGATCATAGTTTGTCAGTTATTTTTTCAAGTAAAGGTGGTGTTCCATGAAGAAGCTGCTAGTTCACCTGGCAATTCAAACAACTGCACACGTCCTTTCCCACAAAGCAAGCTGCATACTCTGGCATGCAGCCAAAGTGACTGATGCTTACTTCCATTTCAAATCACAGAATATGAAAAAGATGGTATGCAAACATTGAGACTTAATAAAATTATTATAATAACTTGTGTTGCTCCATCAAAGACATTTATTGAAAAAAAAAAAAAAAAAAAAAAACCAAAGTCCAAACACCATGAATGTGTGGCAGTGAAGAATACAGTGACCACTGGTACAGTGTGTTGCTACAACCTTGGCTGTGCCAAGGAATCAGCAGTTTTATCTACTCCCGCTTTTGTGCTAGCAGTGCAGATGTCAGCACAGTGAAAACAGTCAAAGGCATCTTAATACTACAGTTTTAACCATCACAGCTCTCCTGAAAGGATGTCAGGGACCCCCAGAGGTCTACAGACCACTCAGAATTGCTGTTCTACACACACACAACCAACCACTTACATGTGCTCCTTCATCCCGATGTGAGACGCCAGCAGAGGCCTGCCACGCACACTGTGCCGTGCCTTCCTTTATCACCAGCACCTTTCCTCTTCAGAGTAAACAGACATACCAGCCCCTAACGCTGGATACTCAGGTTTTTTCCCACCTTCTGCTAGCACAGCAAGTGGGAGTGACTCGCCTGGGACAGACCCTTCCCTCCACGTGGGAGTATATCTGAAGGGTTCCCATAGTGGAGCCATCAGGGAAAAGGCAGAGCACAGACTTACCAAATCGATCAAAAGAGATTATTATTTTTTTAATAGGCAAAGAAAAAAGAGACCCTTCTAGTCGGTTTTTGACCACGGAATGAAGATTGTGAAGGGGCCCAACAAAGTTCAGCTACCATGCCCCATCCCTGTCCAGAAGAAAGGGATAAGATTTCATCACAAAATCTCTTTGTAGAAAAAACACAACTGCTCATCCTGTGTTTTCAAATTTCAGTTTTTCAAAGAACAGAGAAAACAAATGCTACTGACATCCACTGCACCCAGTTCCTAACACAAGGCCTTGTAAGAACCCAATGTCAAAGGCGTCAAAACAGCCACAAGGACATCAAAAGCTGGTTTTATGCTCACTTTCCCACTAGAATGAGGCTGGGAAACCCAAGGCAGCAACACAGATGCCCCTCAACAGACAGTGGAGACTTCAGCCCAGACAAAAGCAAGAGCATAGGGACCCTCTGGTTCCAGATGCCACCTGAAGCCCTTTGGCTATCCCTACAACAGAAGCAAGGCCCAGACACTCACCTCCTCAGCCACCGAGTCCCTGTAGTATCTCAAGCTTTGATCAGCCAGGACAAACCAGTGTTTCTTCCACTAAAAAAGAAAGAAGAAATAGACTCAACTCCCAACTTCTATGCAGCATGCTTACTGCTCCAGGGTGACACACAGCACAGTCCCTAGAGCACCTCTCAGAGTACGGAAAGCACAGGGCAGGCGGGCCCCTCCCAGTGAGTGCAGACAGCACACAAAGGACTCTGCTCCGGCCGCAGGCAGCTAGGCACTCACGACCTCAGGGAGCTCACTAAGCTGCAGCTCCTCTAGGGCAAAGGCAGCACAGAGATGGACCCTGGCTGCTGGCTCTCTGTGATCCAGTGGCGTGGCTGGTGACCTGTGTAGTGCAGTCCTCAATCTCAACTCCAGAGACTGCAAGACTATGAGCTGAGTCCATCAGAGCGGAAAGGTAGCTGTGAACATGGCATCTCCACCTGTAGGTGGCAGCTTGTGAGCCACAGCCACTTGGCTAGCTAACCAGCAGGAGCAAACTAACCAGCTAGAGTCCCAAGTCTTCACTGCAAGTAGCAAGGAGGGGAACTTGAGTCTTCAGGGAAAGCCAAGGGTATTTGACATGGAGAAGAGAAAAAAAGAGGATATTTTGGCACAGTGGCTCAGGAAGCAGGAGGGGCGTGGGGATGGACCAGATATAGGGCCTTTTGGATAAGGAACCAGCAAGGCTCTTCTTCAGGCCTGGCCTTCCAGCCCATAACACAGGTCAGGGTGCGGCCAGCTGCAGATGGCTCTCGTGCTTGAGTCTGATGGCAAGAAGGCAGCACATCTGCTCTTCCCAGGGCAATGTGCTGCCGCAGCTGAGGGCTCCTCATGAGCACTGGAGTCCTGCACAGCTAATCTACTGTCTACTTGGCTGCCTTGCATAGAAACAAGCCAACCCCACAACCAGCTTTCCATGCCTCTGAGGAAGCCTGGACCCCTAGAGAACTTTTAGGAAAAATCATCCAAGTGGCAGGGGCTAGTGTTATAGGGGTCCCTAAAGCCTGCAGGCAGCAGGCAGTTCCTGGCTGCTCTGAGCATTCCCCACTGTAGAAATTGGGGCTGTACACCTGTTCTTCTCTGAGCAAATGGGGGTATCAGCCACAGCCCTGGTCCATAGGACAAGGGGTGTGCAGGAGGCAGGGCTGGAGCCAGTGCTCGCCCCATGCGGGGACAGGCCAGCTCTACCTTGTACCTACTCCCCGGTCCCCCTTGGTGAGGGGCAAGGGTCACAGTAACTCTGCACACTCACCTGGCCGTCCTCGTACTGCTTGGTCAGCCAGCCTTTCTTGAAATTCAGCAGGTCAGGCTGAGAAAGAGAAGAAAGAACAGCTTAGAGAAAAGCCCCATGGTATCCTAGTCATGGGCAAAGGGCATCTGACGGGCCCGGCATTTCTGTTCAGATGAGGCAGGTACCAGGAAAGGGATCCACCTGCCAGACAAGCCTGTGTAGTCCCCGCCACAGGGACAGGGTGTTCTGGGAACCTCTGCTGCAAACCCTGTGCTGCTGCCTAGGCCTGGCAGCAAAGTGGACCCAGATTGAGAATAGTCCCTCTCCAGAGGCCTGTTTTAACCACTCTATGGCTGCCCTAGCCTGAGGGTCTGTAACAAAGACTCTTAACTTCCACTCTGTGGTTGTCACTGACTGCTGGCGACGATGCCCACAAGGTAGACCCCTGGCTGGTGCTCTGCTGTCAGGGTCTCGGCAGATGCTGGGGACAGAAGCTACCAGCTGAGTCAATAAACTCGAGGAGTTTCATTCCAAACATCCTGTAGCAAAACCCAGAGTGAAGGAGGAACCAATCCTCTTGCTCACACGCCACGGTTACACATCAATCAGTGGCTGGCAGCCACAGTCCCTGGGGAAGTGAGAGGCCCATTGTGCGCTGGCTTTGCCGGCATCAGAGAGGGGACGAGAGGTGGTAACAGGCCCAGTCCCCCCAGGAGGCTGAAGAAACAGTGGAGGGGAGCCAGGTCAGTGTGCCAAGAAGCCGCCTTGCTCACTAAGCTCTGACCACGCCCTGCTGCACCTCCGTTGCGTTGACTCTGGGGCCAGGGGGAGGGCCTGAGGCAAGGTCTGTTCTTCAGTTCTCATGGCACAGCCCAGAGAACAGGACCAGCTCCCAGCAAGATGCAGCTCCTGCCTCCAAAGTGCCCCCCAAAACAAATACCCAACGCCAGAAGGGCATTGGGCCCCTGTTGCGGCCCCACTTCCTGGAGTCTGGATCCTCCACAAGGACCTCCTCCTGGAGCTCAAGATGCCACATAGCCCCCGTTCTGGCCCCAAAAGGGGAAGAAACACAGGATCTTCTTCCGTGGCCTGTGGGCTGGGGCACTCACAGACACGAGGGCCCGTGCACAGAGGGACATCTGGCGTGGACGCAGGGACAGAAACAGACAGCAACCTAGAGTGACCAGAGCAGAGAAGCACAGCCTCCAGAGGACGCAGCGCATGGCGCCCGGGCTCACCGTCATGGAGGGCTCCGTGGACCTCCTGTCCAGTGACTTGGCTCTGCGGTGTGGAGACAGGGGGGGAGCCGAGGCGTCTGAGAGAAGAGGTGTGGGGGCTTCACTGGTGACGTCCTATGGCAGAGAGCAGCCGCCGTCAGCACAGCCCAGCGCACCTTGAGCAGGCGGGGGTGGCCGGCCAGGGTTGTCCACCCTCCAAGGGCTGCAGGGGCCTTGCTCCCCATGAGGGGTGGCGATGTGCCCAGGTCCCCACTGCAGGTGTGAGGCAGGGCCAGGAGGGGACCCAAGTCCCAGGACACCCTGGTCATCAGAACAGCTTTTTCTTCCAGATGCCCAGCCACTGTCTCTTTCCGGGCCCCCCGTCCTCCAGCTTCTCGGGTCACAGAAGGAAGAGCCCCGGCTCTGTGGCAGTGAGCAGCAGGCCGCAGGCCGCACAGTGGACTCTGCGTGCCGCACAAGTGAGAGGGAAGCCTGGAGGAAGATGAGCTCAAAGCAGCTACAGAAGAGGCGGGTGGGCAGGCGCCCAGGAGGAGGAGGGTTCAGAAGCTGAATCTACCTCTTGGGCTGAGTGGAGAGGTGAGGGGCGTGGTTGCAGTCAACAGGAAGAGGAAGGAAGGTATGATATTCAGCCTGTTGCAGGGCCACCTCACAGGGGAAGAGAGTGGTGCTAGTTACAACTTGGGATCTAAAACTCAATAGAACATCCTTTCGCAGAGATGGATGAGGTTCTGACATGAAGATGCAGAAGACAGGCCTGCCCCTGAGAAAGTCACTGAGGGCTCGAGGTCAGAGAGCAGAAGCCTGGCAGGAGCACATCTCAGGAGTGTGTGTGCAGGGGACTCGGAGGCACGTGGGGTCGTGTGCTGACCTGACACCAAGCTCCCCCACCCAGAGGCTCACCCGCTTCCTGGGGAACGCCCTCTTCTCGCTGCGGCCCTGGCGAGTGTCACCGGAAGGCGAAGTCCCTGCTGACAAGTTGGTCTCCATGTGCTCCGCCTTCTCAATGTCCAAGGCCTCAAATTTCTCAATTACCTGGGACCTTCTGAAAGAGAAGACACAAGGCTGCTGAGGTGAGAAATGGCGTCTCATGTTCCTAAATCCAAGAGGGACTCTTTTAGCCAGCACCCTCATGCCTGGCCCATCCCGCAGGTCCCCTGTGCATCCCCTCCCTCAGCCTTCCTGTTGGGCGCAAGGCGCAGCACAGCACAGGATGGGCTTTTGGGCACTTGCCAGGCCGACCCGAGCTCCACCCATACCCGCGTCCTGCCACCAGGTCTGTGCTTGCCCTCTGCCCTCCACCCCATGCTGGAAGCCCTGCAGGCTCTGTCGTGTTGACCCACTGGGCGTTCACACAGCTCAGCACCCGGCAGCTTCTCCCAAGCCACACGCAAGATCAAAAGGCAACCACCACCTTGGAGGGACAGCCTCCGTTCTCATTGCACTCCTCAGCGACACGGTGTAGCCCCACCCAGGGAGTCCCAATTTTAGCAAGAAAGAGGCCCTTGAATTAACATTGTTTCTGCTCACAGTAAAAGACCCAATCAAAACAAAAACAAAGCAAGTTGATTTCATGTGAGAGGGCTGGCGGCCTCATCAGGCTCCCGCTCAGGCCCTACTGCCGGAGACGGAGCTGAGATGGGCGAAGCGGGTGGAGGCGGGCGACGCCATGAGCGGCACAGCAGGAGAGGTGAAGAGGCAAGACCTGAAAGAAAACAAGGCTGGGGAATGAATAAACAGAAAAGCACTGCTTGTAAAATCTAATAATGGTGAACCAAAATCATCCAAAGGATTAAAGAAGCAAAAACTGAAGAGGGAGAGAGATCATGCCCATCCCATAGCCGCAATGAGTCACCCTGTGGGGTTGGAAAAGGAGGCCGGGCAGGGACTTGTTGCCGGGGCTGCCCGCCCAAGGGCTTGGGGCTAGGACGGCCCACGTCGGGAGAGCAGCCCCCACCTCGCAGGTCAAGACCTGTTCTTCCAGGGACACCGAGTCTCCTCACAGGGCAGTTCCACCTGGGCTCTGGACTAGTGGCCAAGAGCCAAGGGGAAGCAGGTGAAGGGCCCCCAAGCCTGGAAGACTAAAATCTAATTCCACAAAGAAGAGCGGAAATGAGCTCAAATCCTGAGACGTCCACCCCTCCTCCAAGAAGCCAGCTTCTTTTCAGGGAGGGTTAGTGTAAAGACCGATCTGCTAAGGTCTCTCCCTAGCAGGAGGACAGTGTCAAGGGCAGGAGCCAGAGGGCCCTCAGGCACTCTGCCAGCCCTGTGCTTCCACACCAGGTGTCACCTTCAGGAGGCAGTCTGTGCCAGGCCAGCCTGTGGGAACCAGCAGCGGAGGCGGGTGGCTGGGGAGCGCAGGAGGGGACGTGGCACAGGGAGGCTAGGTGCTAAGGCAGCTGTGGGGTTACCAGGCACGGAGGGGAAGTTCTGGTAAGTGCAGCAAAGGTGTCCACCATATCCAACCATCGTGGTCTGACCTGGGCAAGATTCTAAGCCTACTGACAGGCTTCAGTGCCACCACTGCCAGCACGAGGGCTTCTACACCTAACACCAGGGCCTAGAAAGCCCCAGGAAGCCGCTTAGGGATTGTGCCAGGCCTATACCCAAGATCGGCATGCTGGGGACCGCGGGGCACAGACAGGGCAGCAGCATGACAGGAGGGAAGGCACCTGCTAAGGCTGCTCCACAGGGCCTGGGTAGGTCCTACAAGGCTACAGGCTGAGGGCTGCATGGGGAGCTGGACTTGCTGTCAGTCCCAGCAGTCCAACCAGGCCACAGCCCCCACACTCAGCAGCCAGAGGTGAATCATCAACCAAGAAACACTTCAGAGCTCTGGAAGTCTGAAGAGCAGACATGTCAAAGCCAGAGGGGACTGGGCTCAGAAAGGATGGCCTAGACGGCCATGGCCCGCCAAGAAACCAAACCCGGTGGCTCCTGCAGCCCAGACCCTGGGCAGGTCTGTCATGGCCGAAGTTCCAGGCAGCCAGATTGGTTTCTGCTCATCTGGAGAGTCTGCTCTCATCAACCAGGGGACAGGAACCCCATCGAGCACAGGGTAGGCTGCTCGGGATGCCGTGAGCAGGCCTCGGAAAGCGACAGCAGCTAGCCAGATGTCATTGGGGTCAGAGAGAAGGGATGATGCAGCGTTAGTATGTAGAGCTGGCAGGGCCAGGCAGCTAGCACCAGCTGGAGACCATCCCTATGTGGCAGAAAGCATGCAGACTGCAAAGCCCCAAAGACTGCATCTATCCCAGGCCAGCAGATGAGAACAAGTTAAGATGAATCTCTCCGAGAAGTCAAGCCAAGCCAAGCCAAGCAGGTGTGCCGAATGTTAATTCTGTGGTCTGGCGCTAAACCAGGACATGGCTGACCCTGCTCCAGAGCCACTGCCACACGTGGCCTGCCCATTGGCCAGCATGAAGTCTCCCCTGCTGGCCTCCAATCACTAGCAAGATCCTCTACTCACATATTACTTCATTGCTTAAAAGGACACCCTCAGCCCCAGTCCTGGGACACATCGTGGAAGCAGGGACTGCCCAGGTTAAGGGCCTACTGGGATCTGCACCACCCGTTTGCCATGAGAAGTCACCTGACTTCAACCAGGGGTGGTGATGATAGGCACCTGTCAGGCTACTAATGGAATGTGAAGGCAGCCAAGGGCTTGGCAGAGCACCACCTGGCACCTGGAAGGTGCTGGGCAGCCCCTCAGCTGCCCCTCCCCTCTCCCTAGGAAGGAGACGAGTTTTCCTCTTTTCAAAACCAGCATCTCTAAGTGACATTTCCTTATCTCGGAAGCTGACCCACAAGTTCACAGATCCTCTGCACCTGCGATAGCTGGAAGAGTGGGTGGGTTGTCGGCCAATGTTGGGTGTCCAGAAGAAAAGTGGACAGGAGGTAAAGACACCCCTCTGGCTTACCCCAGGAAGGGCATCCATGGCCTTCGCCCATCCTGACAGCATCTCTGACTCTGAGCTTTAGGCTGTGTCTGGGGCAGTGAGGACACTCTGTGATGATTTCTGGAATTAGGTCTGAACCTTTTTTCTGGATGGTGAACTTCTTTGGAAACCTAATGAGAACTATTGGTTTTTGTCTCCATTTCTTCCCAGAATGTCCACATACTCTATCAATTGTTTCACTGCAAGTTGGGCTGTTGTGGACATCTAGAAGTCCATCGCTGGACCCATGCGAGGATCCCTGCTGTTCAGGCAGAGCCTCAGTTTACAGATGTCCTACCTGACGGAGTGCCCACACTTGGACCTGGGCTTGGAAGAACTGAGCTCCTTCTCTAGTTCTCCAGGAAACTCGGTAGAAGGAGGGCAAGGCAGGACCCCTCCTCTTCTCAGACAACAGCCGAGTTCTGTACCCATGCCCCTTGGCCACTGCCCTAGGCTTACTGTCTAAATCCTCTCTCTCTCTCCAGGAAGCAGAAGCTCCAGGCAGCCTCCCAGGTTCAGCCAAGTCTAGAGGGCAAAAGTCGTGCTACTGGGCATTCAGCTGCTTCACAGACTGCCTCCGGCTTCCCGTGGCTGCCGGGGAAGCGTGTCCTCAAGTGAAGAAGCAGTGCTGCCTTGCCTCCCTAGGCACAGCACTGCCCCTGCACCTCCTGCAGTGCACTTTGCCCGCTCCCCCAGAACTGCTGGGCAAGGAGGTCCCCGTCACCATCTGTAGCTTTAGGGTCATCTTGGCTCCACAGTAGCTTCAGAGAATAGAAACAGGCCAGAAGGAAAAGACCTGGCCCCAACAAGGCCCAGGCAGCTGAAAACCCACCCGGAGCCCTTGTGGCTGAGGCCTCGTGGTGCTCAGAAATCCTGCGTTTTGGCTGCCAGAAGATGCCCCTCCGCCCCACCCCAGCCCTGAAGAGAATGTGTGCTCCCCCAAGGGAGGCTGAGGGAGCGCGAGAGAGCACACACGTGCCCGTGTGCATGTGTCACAGCATGTGTGCCTGGGCCTGCGTGCAGGCTGCCCTCCAATCCCCTGCTCACCTCCGCTCACTGCCAAACAGGCGGGCCACCTCTTCCCTGCCAGGGCTCTGGGCCCGAGTCCTACGCTCCAGCCGCCTTCTCTCCACCTGGAAGGCTTCTCGGTGGCTGATCCTGATGGCCTTGGGGACGTCGGCCAGAGTGGCGTACTGCCTGCTGGCTTTAAAGGCAAAGGTGCTCCCCAGTCTTTCTGTCCCCTGCCCCCCAGTGCTGCCAGAGTCCACGTGGGCAGGGGGCCGGCCAGCTACGTCCAGGTAGCCAAGGGAGATGCTGTAGACCATCCGGCTGGGGAATCGAGGACCTGGGGAAGGAAAGGGATGACCAAGCTCCTGGGAGAGTGATTCGGGGCAACTGTACCTGTTGCTAGGGGTCCCAGGGCTGGGCGGGGAGAGTGGTGGGGGCAGCTGCTGCTCCTCGGCCTTCAAGTCCTGCTTGGTCTTCTCTAGGGAGAAATAGCCGCTCTCCACCCGGACTTTGCGGCCATAGTCCATGCGGTCGCTGCTCATGGCACTCTCCTCTGGAAGAGAGAGGGAGGGAGGAGACGCACTCAGCTTGCTGCCAGCCTTGCTCTGAGGATTTTCTTAAAAAGTCCATGCAGGACGCAGACAGGAACCATCTCTACCTCCTGTCTCCAGCATCTAGCACAGCTCGTCCAAGGGCAGAGTAAGAAGGAAAGAACCACAGGCTAGGAAGGAAATGTTCCTCCCATACTCTTTCCCTCATCCACCTTCCACCCTCACCTGGCTGTTCCTCAGCCAGACTGGCCGGCAGGCCCTGCACTTCTCGCCTGGGGCTTGGACAGACAGCAGGGTCCCACCTTAGGACGATAGATTTCCTGCCAACAACTGCTTCTCACCCAGCATCGAGGAAGAAACCCACAGCCAATCAATCAGCCCTCAGTGTCCTAGTGCGCTCTGAGGGAGGGCAAGGGGAGGGACTCTGCAGGAGTAAGATGAAAGTTTGGCATGGGTGGGAAAAAGCCACTTAAGGCAGGCTGAGACAGCCTCTGCCCAGAGCTCATGCAAAATGCGTTTCAGCCTAAACAAGGTGGGCCAGCCTCAACTGACAATACATAACAAAACATAAATAGAAAATGCTGCCTTGTATCTTACAGAGCCCTCTAGGGCCCGGGATGAGGGAGGCACAGATGAAAGTCCTGCTCTACTCAGGCCGTTCCAGAGTGCTCAGAGAGAGGGCACAGTGATGCCAACGGCTTCCTCCCCAGCACCTCTGCCCTACTTCAACAAGCCTGCTCTAGCCACTGCTTCTCTCAGGATATGAAGGGTGTCCAGGGCCCGTGGCTGTGGATGTGAACACATGAGGCAGTAATAGGGCTCCTCACACACAGGCCCTGTGCAAGTGTCTGTGATTCTCCTGACACCCACCTGGGGCTGACAGAAAAGGTACCAACAGCGGCAAGGCCAAGACCAGAGCCCAGCAATCCTAGTCCACACCAGGCCAGGTGCTGCCCAAGGGAACAATGGACAAAGGGACATTGAGGGCAGGGCTTACACGGGGCTCTGCAGGCCCAAACCAAGTCCCCAGTGCCAGCTCCACTGGGACAACCAGGAAGAGCAGGCACCCAGGCCAGCCTGGCCCCGCTCACCTTCTTTATTCTCCAGCCCAGGTTCCCGCAGGGAGCTGGTAGCAGGAGGCTGGCCCTGGCCGGGACTCTGAGCTGGACTCAGGCTGCTCCCGTCTGGCTGGTCCTTGGCCCGCATTTCCTCCTGCCAGAGTGTGGACTTGGTGGTGGGGACCTTCTCAGCACTGGGGATGCTGCTGCTACTGCTGCTGCTGCTGCTGCTGCTGCTGCTGCTACTGCTGGTAACAGCTACCTTGGCAGGCCCAGGCTCCTGGAAGAGAGGGCGGCGTCAGTGCAGGCACAGAGCACACAGCCCAGGTGGGCTCACACCCAGGCCACAGTGTCAGGGCCTGGAATCTTCAGAAAGGAACATGGGACAGAAGGGAAGCTCCTTCTGGGTGGCTCCATGGCCTTTTTGCCTTTGCAGCCGAGTGCCTGGTCCGACTGGCTTCAGGCCAGGCTTGGTAAAGTTGTGGAGGAGAGGCTCGGTGTCAGTCAGAGTCCTGTCACTGAGAGGCACAAGCCTTAACAGTAAGACCACAGCGACTGCTCAGAGTCTGTCCTTCCTGGACATCCTGGCACTTGTCTATAACATGAACAAGGGGAGAAGGAACAGGCAGGAGAGAACAGAGCTAAGATGCCCAGCGTCCTCTGCAGACCCTCAAAGTGAATGCAAAGGACGAGCTGGACAGCAGCCAAGCCGGGCCAGTCACGTGCCCCTTCCACCATCTGATTCTAAGAAGGTAAAATGGAAAGCCCAGACACTATGTGAAGGACAGAGTCATCAGACGCAAATCAAATGCTATGGTTTGAATGTTTGTGTCCCCCAAATTCATATGTTGAAATTCTAATCCACAAAGTGATGGTATTAGGAGATCCTGCCTTTGGGAGGTGACTAGGTCATGAGGGTGGAGCCCCAGAGTGCTACCTCGCTTCTTCCAACACGTGAGGATGGGATGGGAGCCCTGACCATACACTGAATCTACTGGCTCCTCGATCTTGGACTTCCCAGCCTCCAGTACTGTGAGAAATAAATTTCTATTGTTTATAAGCCAACCAGTCTGTGGTATTTTGTTGTTAACAGCCTGAATAGACTAAAAATCAAACATCCCACTCATCTGCGCACGTTCTCTCTCTCTCTGTCTCTCTGTCTCTCTCTCTCTCGTGCACATGCTCCTCTACACACTCTCACAAGCTAGATCCAGGCCAGTAGCCCAGAAGGGAACAGTGTCAGCTCCCACCGCTCCCCAGGCAGTAGAAGTGGTGCTGCCAGTGGGAGAAGTGCTCGTGCGCAGCATTTAGGCAAAAGCAGGGAGCCCAGCCCAGCGGCATGCAGAGACACTTAACTCCGTGAACACAGCACCCAGCAAAGGGCAGGGCTGGGATCCCCAGCTGCCCTGCGGAGCCAGCTCACATCCTGGGTCCAACCACTCTGCCAAAAGGATGGCTTTAGCCTCTTTCAAAGAGTGATGCCTATCTCTGCTCTCTTGCCAAAGGCAGGGTGTGATATACAAACACCTATCTCCCATTCCCCTCCTGCTGGCCAAGGTCCACATTTAGAAACCCACCTTAGCCCATCTCTGGCTTGGGGACCTTGGTGAGGGTTACAGATGACACAGGCTATTTATACATGTGTGTCTGTGTGTGCATAATGGCAGATACAGCATCACCCTGAGACTACCTATATCAACAGCCTGGCTGGGTGCCTTACCATCCAGTCTCACCAACCCACCTCGAAGGGGAGGCTGCAGGTGCCCACACCTCCACCGCCAGTAAGGGACATTGTGGGGGTATGAGCGTTTCCATTGCACAATCCCAGGAGCAGGAGAAAGGCCAGGGATGGGTGGGGTATTGCCTTGGATGGGGAGCCGGCCCAAAGCTGTCATCAGCTTTGCAAGAATTCCAGGCTGGGAAGGCGATTCCTGACTGCCAATTCAGAGCCACCAGCAGACCATCCCTGGGCAGAAGACTCCCCTCAGGAGAAGTTAGCTTCTTGGAAGCAAATGGTGAAGGTATCTCCTGACAGGTATCTCCTTTCCTGAGGGCTCCAATGACCCAAGGAGACCTGGTCCCAGAGCCACCTGTCCCTCCAGCCAGCACACCACCCTGGTGCACTTACAACCCACCAACTGTACTACTGGATGCAGAACCACCTTCAGTCCCCCGCCCCCAACATGAAAGCGGAAGTCACTAGAGCTCCGCTTGCGGAGCAGGGCCTTTCTGGAGGGGTTTTGGAGAGGGCTTTCTCCCTACGCGAACAGCAGACCCAGTGGGAAGGGAGGGGTGGGACTTGGAGCAGGAGTGGTAGTAGACACCCCAGTAAAAAAAACACAAAGATTCCTAAGGAAGGAAACAAGCACATAGCTGGTGGCACTGGCCTGGCTCACACCAGTGTGAGGTGGAGAGAGACAGGAAAAGCTGGCCTCCCCAAGCTCTGCCAGATGAGTGGGGACCCCAGGCAGGCCTTGCAACCCTGGCTGGGGAGACACAGCTCTGGGCCCCCCACCTGTCCCCGTCCTTCCCGCCCTGCTCAGACCTACATGGGTCAACATTTCCTTCTGCTACAGGCTCTTTCCTTCTTTAAGCGTAGCAGGGGAGTAAGAAGAGCTCCCTGGAGCCCGTGTCTCTCAGGCCACAGGCTTTGGGATATCCGGTCAGGACCAAGCCTGCCTCCTCTCCCAGCCTGGGCTCTAGGCACCTGCTGCCCCCGCAGCCCATCCATGGCCCTACCTTCAGCTCTCCCACCTGGGTTCCTCAGGGCAGAGGCTGGGTTTAACTGGGCACGGCAGAGAGCCAATGCTTCAAGCCCTCTGCTATTCAATCTGAAACTCTCCCAGCCTACACAGGGCCACGGAGAAAGAAGTCAGGTACTGTAGGTCTTAGGTTCTCGCCTTTACAGGGGCCCTGAAGGTGTTACGCTTATCCCCAGCCTCACTCTGGCCCATGAGAACGCCTTTAGCATCAGGCCTGAAACGGAGATGCCATCCCAACCGCAGTCCCCACCCTTCCTCTGCAGAGGCTTCAGGCTGCCCCACAAGACTGACTCTCGGGAAAAATTGCCCGATGAAAGGCCACAGCTTCTGGAACCAGCAAGCTCAAATGGGATGCTCTCAGAAGCCAGGGTGAAAAACAAGAGATCCCACCAGGCTGGCTTCTCTGGGGCTCGGGAAGGGGCTGAGGGGAGGAGTCTGGGGCTCATGTCCCGTGCTCCAAGAGACCCTGAGGGAAGTGAGTGACCTCCCTAGCCTGGAATCACGTGGTTCCTTCTACCAACCATAAAGTTGAGGTTTGGCCATAGCCAGCAGTATCTGGGGCACAGGGTGCCATGTGAGGGGGCAGGGCAGGGAGGGGTACCCAGCAACCAACCCCTGGCTGGGCATGTATACTGCATGCTGAGTCACCTTATTTGTAAGCAGGGTCTCTGCCACCGCATTGTTTCTAAGGCATCCCCATGGAAATGGTATGCCACCCTAGACATACTGCCTGTAATTTTCTCTCTCACATCAGAAGCTTTGGGGGATTTGTGTGTTAATTGCTATTCCCCAAGAGGAAGCTCCATTTTCAGTCTCTAGGAAGCACTCTGAATGCATTTTTGCCAACTTGCAAAGGACATTTCCCTTCCAGCAGATACTGGCTTGTGCACCCCCAGGATGGCGGTGGATGGCCGTTGGCCGAGAGTGGGCCCAGGCTGTGCTCTAGGCAGGAAGGCCCATACTGCAGCCCAGGGTAGGCACATCCAAAGGCGGCCAGAGGGGGTGTGGGGAGAAGGGGGCCTGGGAGTTGGGGTCACATGGCCCTATTCTGGTCACATGGGAGTTGGGGAAGGGGTCCCCGAAAGCCCCTCACTGGGCCAGGACACTCCAGAACTCTCCCTCCCTGCCCCTGTGCAGCCTGCTGTCCTTTCCTGTAGTGTGTGCAGCAGGCCACCCTCCCAGCAGCTGGCAGGACCAGCCAGGGGTGGGAACACATGCTGTCTCATCACCTGCTGTGGCTCTGCCCCTCCTTCAGGCAGCCCCAGAGAATACCTGCAGGGCACCCTGTCCCGTTGTGGGTTCTGCCTGTGGCTCAGAGACTACGTGGCAGACTGTAGCCCCCAGAGCATCAGAAGGAAGAGGGGGATGTGCAGGGCTGGTGACCACCTCAGCCCCATCATGACTCCTTCCTCCTCCCTCTCACCTCCTGGGAACTCTCACTTCTTCCCAGGCCCCAGCTCCATCAAGGGGGACGCCACCTGGTAAACCCATCACCTACCTGAGGTGTGGGAGGCTCCACTTTCCGTTTCTTCTTCTGGTTCTGCTTGTTGGTCCTGGGATAGACCATGAGCATCTCCAGCCACCTGGGAAGAGGAGACAGAGCACCAGGTAAGACCTGGCTCTTGGGTCTATGCTCCCTAGCCCTTGCTGGGGTGGTCTGGACCCCAAGCCTTTGCCTCCTGCATCCAGCAGCCAGGCCTCCAGGCACCAAGCAGAGCAAGGCATCACTCAGATGGAAGCCTGTCATGCTGGAGCAGCAAGTGCCACAAGAGCAGGCCCAGCCAATGCCCCCACTGTGACCACAGCAGGCTCAGGGCACGACACAGGCTGCACACTTGGCCATGGGCCTCAGAGCACAGGACCCATCGCTCCATTACTAACCCCGTCACTGGGACTTAGACTCGGCCCTGACACCACTCTCCCAGAGTGTATTTCGCAAGTGCAGATGGGCTGTGACTGGAGTCATTTAGGACCCACAGAAGTAGACATTAGCCCCAGGACAGGAAACCAGGAGATGTCCTAGCAAACTTCCTCTGGCTAGTCACCTCAAGGGGCTGAACACCTGACCTCCCAAGACCATCCCCTGTAGAGGGAGGATGTCGAGGCCCCTGGTTTTAGGGAAGGCTGGGAGAAGCTGCCCAGAGACCCCAACCGGAGCTGCAGCAAGGGAGGGTGGAGAGAACAGGGACTGCAGGCTTGGCCTCTGGATCTAACTCTGCCAGCAGACCACAACCCCGGGCGGTTCCCAGGCCCTCTGGGCTTCGGTCTCTTTGTTTCTGAAACCAAGGGCTAGACCAAGTCATGACACAATTGCTGCTGCTTCCGCTATATAGAATCCTACAGCAGACAAAGGAACTGAACAGCGGCTCCTCCCTGGAGCCTTGTGCCAGTGCCCCTGGGGCTCGAGGGCAGAAGGCAGTGGGGGCCCTGTCTCAGACGTCCCAGCTCTAGCCCTGGGCCTGGTGGTGCAAAGGCAGCCCTAGTGTCCTCTAGAGGAGGGAGGAACTTACAGTTGTAAGTTGCTCCAGATCTTCATAGAGCACCAAGGTCCCTGCTGGGCCTTCTGCCAGCTGGGGTGGCAGAGAGCACACTGCCACACCCTGTCTGGAGGCCACACCGAGCCTGGGGCAGGGAGAGGGCTTACATCTTTAGCATTCAGAGGTGCTTTTTTAATTTGGGCTGCTGCAGGAAGGGAGGCGTGGAGGGCAGGCCAGTCACAACTAGTGGCCTCTGGGACAGCCAGAGGAAGGTATGCTGTTGACAGCTGGTAGCCAGGGAGTCTGGGCTTGGTGAGGGGCCAGCCTCTGCCCAGCTCAGCCATACTCAGTGATGTTCGATTTTCTGAGAGGATGAGCAAATATGTGCACCTTGTCAGAGACCCAAGCACAGGTCCTGCAGGTCACTTCTCCATGGCTCCGAAGCAAGAAAGGAGGGTGTGGCTATACCTGCCAAGCCAGCAAGTGGGCAGGCTTTCTGAGGTCTGAGCCTCCTCCCTGCTGGTCACTCTTCTCACCAAGGCCAGCTAGGAGTGGAGGCCACTGGGAGATGGCCGCAACTCATACAACTTGGAGCATTCACAGTGCTTGTGGGGTTAAAAAGACCTGTCCCTCTAGGCTGCCATGGTGGCCAACATTCCTACTGAGCACTAGGAAGAACAGTACCCTCAGAAGGCCACTCTTAAAACTTCACCCAGGTGGGGAGAGGAGACTCCTGGGTAAAGGTTACCTCACTCCTCCCGGCCTGGGAATGTAAAGATCGTGGCAGGAGTACAGAACTCTTCTGGGTGCCCTCAGCCCTGCAGCCTGGCCCAGGTGTTGTCAGTTGTCAACCACTAACAGGACTTGAAGGAAGAGGAGAGAAGGGTTGCTGCTGCGGTAGCACTGCCGGCAAAATAGAGCTACTGAGTTCTGGGCTGGCCTCCGAAAGCCAGGGACCCAGGAGGAGCCGGGGATGGTGGGGATGGGCCTGGGTCATCCCATGAGGCCTGGGTCCTATTAGGCTTCTTAGTCTTCTCTCAGACTGGAGTCGGAGAGATGCTGGTTCCAGGAACAGATGCCGGAATGTATCCTCTGCATTTGCATTTCTCACAGAAGCCCAGTAGGAAGCATCTAACATCATCCAGACGTGCTACAAACGTCAACAAAATAAACTCTATGATGTGGACATGGGATTGGTGGGTGCCTGGGCTTCGAAACTGTAGAAGGAAGAGCCTGGATAAGTGAGAATGGGAGTGGGCAGAGCTGAAGGGCAGAGCAGGGAGAAGGGAAGCCCAGCCTCCCCAGCTCAGAGCACAGAAAGGTGCTCTTTCTGACTCCCATGCAAATCCTACCTCCTCTAAAAGGGCTGTGTGAAGTGTGGCCCCAGAAGTCTGCAGGCCCCTCCTGGTATGTGGTAACCAGAAAGACAGCTGCTAACTTTCTCCACCCGGCCTCGGAAGAGACAGGGCAGCCCAGAGCTATTCACAGAAGACCCAGGAAGAAGACTGGTGGGATGACTCCCTTGCTCCCAGCCGCCTGGTGGAAGGTCTGCACCTCCTTAGGGACTGGTTTGATGTGACCTGAGCACTCAGACCCATCTCAGGGTCCCCACGCCCAGGAATGAAGTTACTGGGCCAAAGAGCTGTGACAGACAGGAGGCCATGGACGGAAAGGCCATGGAAGGGGAGGGGACGTCTGCAAGGGTGGGAGACAGAGGAAGGGCAGGAGAAGGTGGGGGCAGAAGCCCCTGTTCCAGGGAACATGACCTCCACCTGACTCCCTTAAGGAGGCTAAGTAACCCAACATGTAGGATGGTGAGGAAGCTGCTGCCTGGGGTCACAGGAGGGGCTGCAAGGCCAAGCTACCACCATGAGAACCTGCCTATTGGACAGGAACAGGTGAGGCCCAAAACCAGGATGGGGGGGAGAGGGAGTGGAAAGAGCCCCAGGTGGCTTATTCTGGCTTTGGACATGCCACCAAGCCACCAACAGCCTTGGACCCTATTGAGTGCCTAGCCCACATGCAGGCCCCCAATGCCATGTGTGCCCAGGTACCTTGGTCTGCTAATGACCTCATCTACCCAGCTTGCATGGGAATTGCTGGCCCCGTACATGCAGATGGAGGACACGAGAGAGGAGTGAGCAATGACAGGGCTTGGGATGGGAGCAAGGACCTTGGCAGCACTCAGGCTGCCTGCTGGAGGAACCGCTCCTCCTAACACCACATGACACAGCACATATATCGCTGGCCTGGTCTCAGAATGCACTGGTCCAGCTCTAGGCACTCCCCAGCCTGCCCCAGGGACCACGGATCCCCTTTCCATCCCATCTGTCACCCAGACTCTCCCTAGAACCCAGCTCCCACAGGGAGGGCAAGGGCTCCCTAGGGGACCCATCTGGGCAGAGCGAGCCCTGGCCATGTGTGAGACAGGAGGGGGAGGTGCCCTTGCCCAGGCTCCCCTGTTTCCAGGCCATCAGTCTTCTCCACTATAGAATGAGGATTCTGTAGAAGCCTTTGATACTCTTCAACTGTAGGGTTCTAGGTTAAGATTGGGGACAGACACAAAGTGGTCCAGAAAGTGGCACCTCATAGAGCAGGTGTCCTCAAACTGCGGCCCGCCGGCCACAAGCAACCCACCGAGGACATTTATTCGGCCCTCCGGGTGTTTTTGCTGCTGCCTGTCCTGCTTAGCAGCCGACTCGTCTGGGCCCACAGTGCACATGTGTGGAATGTGCACTGCACTCTCCAACGGTCTGAGGGACAGTGAACTGGCCCCGTTTAAAAAGTTTGAGGACCCCTGCCATAGAGAGTGCCCCTGCAGCCCAGCATTGGTCCCCGACCCCACCCTCAACATGTGGACTTGAACTTCTGGTCACTCACAGTGCTTCCTTGCTTACCAGCCTTGCTCAAGGAAGTCTCCCACGTCTCAAACTCAAGGGCTCCGTGTCCCAATCCCTCTGCTCTGCACTGCTGTACGAGCACTGCTACAGCCAGCCCAGTCCCCAGCCAAGGCCATCTCGGAGTCTGCCTCCTCCTCAGCCTTGAAGGATGAGAGGGATTCTCCAAGATCCAGTGCCTGTGCTCCCAGCCACGCCTGACCACGTGTGGCTTTCAACCATGGCCCAGGCCACAGGGTGTTGGTAGCAAATGCCCCCCTGCTGGATTGGTAGTTCCTGGAAGGCCAACGTTGTGGGTTCCGGAGCACAGAGCTGGGACCACAGGCTCTCTCATGACCTGGGCCCTCCTTCCACTTTCAGGGGAGTGGGGTGAGGAAAGACCGGTCCATTTTCTGCACTCAGACAAAGAAGCCAGATTGTGCAGCGGCAGAGGAGTGGCTATGTGTGCGGTACAGTGGACGGGCCGAGACACACCACCCTCAGGGCCATCACTGGGGAAGACACATGTGCTTTTAGGCAGTCGCGAGCTCTCACAGGTTATGGAGCCCAACGCGTCCTGGGGAGGGTGTGTGCAGGGTGCTGGGTGGGCTGCAGAGCTAGAACTCGATCAGCCTACAGGTGATGGGGTTTAGACAGGACAGGTATGGTCGGTGTGCTCTGGGGACTAATCTCCCTCCGGGTTGAGTGACAGATGAGCTGGGGATATGGTGAGAGTGGAGGAGGGGAGGCCAATGAACAGGCCCAAGGAAGGCACACAGCCCCAGGACCAAGAGGGAGGCCCCAGAGTCCACAGGACACGAGCAGCAGCCTGGGGAAGTGCGCAAAATGGAGAACGCCCTGGTTCCTGGGGTGGTGAGTGGATACACAGTGATGCTGAGGACAGAGGAAGCCCAGAAGAAGGAAGAGTTGCTTAGGGTAAGAAACAGTGATGCTGATGCCACCACCAGCTCGTGGCCCATTTGATGCTGGACCCGAGGGGGTGGGCATGGAGCACCTCTTTCCGCAGCCCGAGCAGACTCACCCACTGACGATCTCCTTGGTTTCTGCCCTGATGAAATGCTCCTTCTCGGGCGTCAGGATGCACAGGGAGAACCTCTGGCCCGTGCGGCCCTCCCCATCCACCACATCTGTGCACTGGTTCATGTTGATGGTACCCTGGGGGAGGGTCGTGGGCTGCAAGAAGACAATGGCAGAGACTCATCCAGAGGCCAGCCAGTGAGGGCATAGGTGTCCCACACAGTCCCTGGGCAGCCCCACGTGACCCCCAGGTGTGCCCTCCCTCCCCTAGGCCTTCAAGGCCCTACATACCCACCCCAGGAAGGGGCAGGGGCAGGTCAGGCTTTTTCCAGAGGACAGCCAGCTGGACATCCCTTCCTGCTTAGAGAACAATATCCCACTCGTACCAGAGGAAGGGGTGGAGGATGGGGGGGAGTAGAGAAGGGGACAGTGGCAGCCAAGATTCTAGTCTCAGAGGGGTTGCTGATCCAAGAGAGCAATGAGAAAAAGCTCCAGAGGAGGTGGTTTCAAAATAGCAGGGTTATTTTTAGAGGCAAGGGAAGGGCTGGAGAGAAGCCACATCCTTGGGAGCAGGATCTGGGACTGGCGCAATGTGAGTCCTTCAGAGGAGCCTGCCGGCGGCCTGGCCCACCAGCACCCTCCCAGGGGCCCAAGTGCAGCACACAGGGGCTGTGCTGGCCAGCTCCGGCAGGACAAACACTGACTCTTTTGTTTCTGACAGCAAAAATTATTAAGACAGTGAAATCAGGGACAGAAAACCAAACATAAGAAAGGAAGGTTTAGGAAATGCCCACAGAAGCGAAGGGGCTACAGAGGGCCATGCTGAAGACAGCTAGCCCTGTGCCCTCTGGGCTCTTACTCCAACACAAGGATATTCTGGGAAAGCAGACAGGTTGCCACTGCTACCACCAGGCCAGGAGTCAGGGCGCCATCCTCGACACCCTCTGCACTGACAGTTCTCACAGGACGGCCAGTTCTGGGGCAGCTGTCAGCTTCTCCACCCAGCTTACCCAAGAGCCCACCACGTCCTTGGTCGTCCTGGAGAAGCAGTAGGTGCTTGCTCATTGAACTTGGGAGAAAAGGCGAACAGCAGCCCTCTGGGATAAGAGCTCTAAAAGGTTTCTACCACCGTCCAGCTGGGAACTGCCGCCTGCTGCAGGCAGGGGCAGGGGCTGGCAGAAGAGCAGGATGCCAGGTCTGGTGGATATGCTGTGCTCAGACTGACCACTCCCCCAACCACTACCTTTTCACTTGTCAGACACTCGTAGGAGCTTCCTGTTACTTCCACCAGGCTGGCCTATGAGCTCCTCTGACCCACCTGCCACCTCTCTCCACATCCCTTGATGCTCACCTGTAGGAGGCAAATCCAAGAGTGCTGGCTTCGCAGACCTCTCACCCACACACAGGCACTGGCTCTCTTCCCCATGGGGGGAAAGGGGTAGGTGCCTGGCTCCAGAAAGCCTTTCCCTGTGAGGCCTCTGGGCTCAGCTGCCCTCTGTGAGCCTAGCTCAGAATGGAGGTGGCAGAGCACGAGGGCCAAAGGCTGGGCTCACAGGGAGGCCTCTGACTTTCAGTGGGAAAGAGCTTGCACCTCTGGCTCCAGTGTGAGCCACAGTGTTCACAGTGCATCCTGCCTCCACAATGACCCCAGGGGGACACGAGGAGGAGCCTGGTGTTCTCCATCAGTGCAGCAGCCTGCAGGTGCCTCTCACTGACACTCCTGGAGCTGGGCAGGGCTGCCCTGAAACCAAGCAGGGGGTTTTCTCAGGGAGCAGCGGGCAAGGGCCTGGATCCAAGTCCCCACCACCTTCTGGCTGGGGAGGTCCACACTGAGCACTGAACACACAGCTATAGGATGGGGTTCCTGGCCCTCCCAACCTCCTCCCTCCAGCTTTGGTCCTTTTATTCTATTCTACAGAAGCTCTGGTCCCCAGGCATCTCAGGAGTCATGCAGATACCCATCTGGACCCTCTCTGGCCATGCCAAGAGTTGCTCTGGCTTCCCTCTCAGAGCTCAAAGCCCCCATAGAGAAATGCATATCCCCCTAGCACTGACAAGGTGCCTCATCTCTCAAAGGCAGATCCTCTTGTTTGAGAAACAAGGAAACTGATGCCATGAGCCACAGTGAGGACTGGGTGCCATGAAGCTTAGAGTGTGGGGCCCACCCAGTGGATTCATCACCAGAGTGAGCCAGGAGTGACTGCAGAGGGCCAGGGGTGTCCAGGGGCTTTTCCTACTTGACTCCTCCTCCCTAAGCTTCGACACCCAGGGTCTCTGATACTGACAGAACATACCCTGGATAAGTGTTATATCTGTATCACAAGACAACCGATTATGAAATATGATGTATACAGTGCACACAGCCAAAGATAAGTCACATGGGGACAGTAAAACACATCAATAGAAACGGTAATATTCTCTTCTCAGGGACCGCCCACTGGACCCCAGGGCGCACAGGCTCCACCCTGAAGCTGCTGTTCCAGGGTTCAGTGTCCTGCGATGAGACTCCCCTCTCGCACAGTAACCATTTCACTAGACACTCGGCCCCCAAAGACCCTTGCCCTGCTGCTGGAGATGGCCATGGCCAGGCACCTCAGCCTCACCAACAAGTAGGAAGTAATACCCCCAACCTATCCACCCCTCCACCCTCAGTTACCCAACGTGCAAGATGAGGTTGCTACCTCCTTCCCAAAAGGATCTCAGAATCATCAATAAAAGACAAAAACTTAACAAGATAGACCAGAACTGAAGGAAATTTACATTTATTTGCTAACTATGGGTCAGGACCCTACAATTACAATCTCTTTTATGCCCCTTAAATATTCCTTGTTGTGAGGTGGGCATTACCTAATCCCATTACAGACACAGGAAAAAGGGTACCAACGGAGGCTAAGTAACAGTCACACAAGAAGGAAAAACTGACTCCAAAGCCCAGTCTGTCACAGAGCTTCCAATGAGGTAGCAAGAGGTAGGAAAAAACATCCTGCTCTGAAAAAAGATGATGTCATTCTTAGCTAACCCTGGTATTAACTTTTCTTTTTAATAATATTAATAGCTTTATTGAGATATAATTCACATATCATAAAATGTCCCTAGTTAAAATGTACAATTCAATGGCTTTTAGCACATTCACAGAGTTACACAACAATCAACTGCAGAACATTTTCATCACCCCCTAAAAAATACCTGAACCATTAGCAGTCATTTCCCTTTGACACATCCCTCCCTCCAGTCTCCTCCCCAAGCCAGCAACTATTAATTTGCTTTCTGCCTCTGTATATTTATCTATTCTGGATATTTTGTATAAATGCAATTCTACAACATGCAACCTTTTATGTGTGGGTTCCTCCATTTAGCATATTTTCAAGGTTCATCCACAACACAGCATGTATGAGTACACTCATTTTTATGGCTACATAATATTCCAGTGTATGGCTATCCCACACTTTGTTTATCCATTCATCTGCTGATGGACATTTGGGTTATCTGCACTTTTTGGCAATGTGAACAGTGCTGCCATGAAGATGAGTACACATGTCTGTGTGGATGCCTGCTTCATTTCTCTTAGGTGCATCCTATGAGTAGAAACACGGTAACTCCATGTTTCACGCTTTGAGGAGCTGCCAGACTATCTCCCAAGGCGGCTGTACCATTTTACATTCCCACCAGCAGCATGTAGGATGTGGCACTAACTTTTTAAATTATATCTATGCCTCGCTTCCAAGCAGGGCTCTCAGAGGGCAGATCCAAGAGCCTACGTCATGACAACCTGCTATGAAAACAGCTCCTTCCAGGTCTTGGCAGCACCACCGTCAGCACGAGCGACCGGCCACAATGTCACTCTCATTTCCACACACTTGCTGAACACCAGGCCATGGTCCAAACCCCTCCCCTATGTACTCTCAATTGGACACACCCATAATACCGTGAGGCAGGTGCTGCTGTCACCCTATCCTACAGACAGGGAAGCAGGCCACCAAGAAGGTGAGTACGGTCATGTGCCACCTAACCACATTTCAGCTGATGACAGACCACATATATGATGGTAGGATTATAACACCACATTATTGTGCCTTTTCTATGTTTACACACATAAGTACTTAGTGTTATGTTACAGATGCCTACATTATTCAGTACAGTCACACATACAGGTTCGTAGCCTAGGAGCAATAGGCCATACCATGTAGCCCCGTGTGTAGAAGGCTGCAACACTTAGGTTTATGTAAGGATACTCTATAATGTTTGCACAAGGATGAAACTGCCTGATGACACACCTCTCAGAAGGTATTCCCATCGTTAAGAGATGCGGGACTGTAATTTACGCTAGGAACCATCCCAGGAAATAGCCACGCCAGGACTTAAACCCAGGCACTCTGGCTCTGGAGCTAGCCCTTTGCCACTCTGCACTCAGCTGTGGGTCTGGTGCTCACAAAGCTGGAGCAGATTCAACCATGGGATGCAGATAGCCCTAGGCCAGCCTATCCTCTCCCCCACCTCTGCTTAAGAGGCAAGATATACCCATCTGCATTCTCAGCGCTCAGAAGAGAGATGAAAACGTGCCGCGCTGCAAGAGCAAGGGCAAATATCTAGGCCGCAACCCAAATCCAGCCAGAGGGAACGCCTTGCCTCTCACACTGTCAGCAAAGAAGGCACTCTGAAGAGCTCTCTGCCCTTATTCTGCTCCTCCAGAGTTTAGAAATCCAGGACTCCTGGGATGCCAAGCTTCACTTAGTTTTGCTCATTTCCTTTTCCAAAAAAGAGATGGCTGCCTGCAGGCCAAGTTATGGGTTCTGTCTTTGCCAGACTACAGCCATCTGGACCCTCTGGTCCTCCTTCTGGCCTCCATGCCACTGCAGCTAAGAGCAGAGCTGCTAGAGCTGCAGACTATTTCAGTGGTAGGGCATAAGACAGGAGCCTCTCTCTAAAGAAGCCTGGCCCTCTTACCTGTTCTCTACCCAGCAGCCCACAGGAGACTGAAGCCTGTGTCTGGAGCCAGAGTGGCCTTCCTGGGTTAGGGCAATCCTACCACAGCAGCCTTACCACCTGGGGACCCTCTTGGGGACCCTCCACCCCTCTCTCAGCCCAAGTAGGTACAGTTTTGGGACAACTAACTTCTGTTTCTGGTTGACCTCTAGGGGTATGGGAAGATAAGCTTCTAAGAGCCAGAGGGAAAGAGGAGGAAAGCTGGACAGAATACTGAGAGGGGCTGTCCAATGTTACAGGCAGGCCCTTTCCTTCAGGCCAGATGCCATTACAGAGCCAGAGGTGGCTCACATGCCTGACCTGGGAGGGACCGTTCTCTTCTATCCCCCACTCAGACAGGAAGACAGAGACCCACAGGAACAGAGTCTTCCCCCCAGGGCAAATAATTCTACCCAAACCTCAAGGCCTCATACCTCAAACCTCGCTGGGGCCACCTGGAACAAGTCTGACTCTCTGACTGGCACCCCTGCCTCTCCTGCTTGCCATCTTTCCTCACTGGCCTTTGCAACTATGTTGTACAAAGTCATGCCAAGTTTATCAGGGAACCTGTAGGCAGGACCACCAGGCCTGAGCAACGTGAAGGGCTTACTCAGCCCTGCCCTCAGCCTGGCCCTTGAGCAAAAGAGGGCACTCACTGAGCTGCCTCCTCCCTCCCCAAGGTAACGGTAATGGTCATGGCACCAACAGCAGGCAGCGGGGAGCCAGGCTCCCTCTGCAGAGAGCTGGTGGGCAGGTGCGCTGGAGGCTTGGTTTGTCTGCTGGAGGCAGGTTTAAGGAGAGGCCCTCCCTTTCTTTGGGACTGGAGAGGTTGGATCCGAGTTCTCCAAGGAAGGAAAGCAGCCACTGGGGAGCACAAGCCACATCCCAGGCACTCCGGCACCCAGATCCTGGGAGGAATGACACTAGCCAGGCTCGCAGGGGCTCACAGACACGGTCTCCACGGTTCTTCCTACTGTAGCCAAACTGCTTCTAGGAGCCCAATTCTAATGAATCATGAACCTCTCTCTCAAGGAGGTGCTAGTGACCATCCCAAAGGCTACCTGGTGGAGAACAAGCACCTGAAGTTGCTCCAGGGCGGCAGGCCTTCCCAGCCAGCAGAAACCCAAGTCCTTTGAGCAAACTGGAAAGAGCTGTGGAAAACAGGTCATCATCCCACCCATGCCTGGAGTGAGCAAAGCTTCGGCCTAGCCTCTGTGCCACAACTCAGAAGCGTCAGGCAACCACAGCCAGGGCCCAGGGCCAGATAAGGGGCCACAGCTGGTGCCCACCAGGCAGAACTGTCTCCTCCCTTCTCAGTTGTCCCCAACCCCTAAATATTGCACAGCCCTCGTGGTTCACAGGCAAGTTTCACAACCATCATCTACACTGAAGCCTGCCCTGCTGCACAGAGCTGAGCCCTTGTCCCAGTGCTTATCCTCAGGTACCAGGTCTGTTTCCACGTCACACCTGACCACGTGTGGCTTTCAACCATGGCCCAGGCCACAGGGTGTTGGTAGCTCAGTGGTTCCCAGATCTAAGTAAGGTATACTCTGAGCTTCCCATTTTCAGAACCCTCTAGTCCAGGAGAACCTACTCTCAGAGCCAAATTCCAGCCGCCCACTCGCCATCTCTGTGATCTTAGACGAGTGGCAAATTAAAGGCTCAGTTTCCACAAATGTAAAATGGTGGTAAAAATATGCCTAATTTTTTTTTAGGGGGGTAGAGACAGAGTTTCACTCTGTTGCCCGGGCTAGCATGCCGTGGCGGTAGCCTAGCTTACAGCAACCTCAAACTCCTGGGCTTAAGCGATCCTCCTGCCTCAGCCTCTGGAGTGGCTGGGACTACAGGCATGTGCCACCATGCCCAGCTTTTATTTATATATATATATATATAATTTTTTTTTAGTTGTCCAGCTAATTTCTATTTTTAGTAGAGACGGGGTCTCACTCTTTGCTGAAGCTGGTCTTGAACTCCTGACCTTGAGCTATCCTCCCACCTCGACCTCCCAGAGTGCTAGGATTACAGGTGTGAGCCACCGCTCCCAACCATAATATGCCTAATTTTGATTGATTGTAAGATGGCGTAGCTATTGTGGAAAAGTTTGGCGGTTCCTCAAAAAGTCAGTTACCAAAATGAAGCAATTCTACTCCTAGGTATATATCCAAAAGAACTAAAAACAGGTGTTTGAACAAAAACTCACACACAAATGTTGGTAGCCGCATTATTCATAATAGCCAAAGGCGGAAACGACACAAATGCCCATCAGTGGATAAACAGATAAATAAGATGTGGTGTGTCCCTATAATGGAATATTATTCAGTCATCAAAAGAATGAGTGAACCTTGACAACATGATGCCAATGAACAAAGCCAGTCACAAAAGGACAAATACCGTATGATTCCACTTCGGTGAAACAGCCTGAAGAGGCAAATCCACAGGGACAGAAAGCAGACCAGTGGCTGCCAGCGGCCGTGGGGAGACAGGAGTGAGCAGTGGCTTCATGTATGTGGGACTTCC